AAAATAGTATAATCGTACAAGCATTTGATTTCCCCTTTATGAATAGATCATGGAGTTAAAAGAGATCGGTGGCACAAATTACAAGGAAAACATTACTAACATAATGACTCGTATGATGACATACAATCTTGGTAGTAAATTTTGCTGGGAGGGGATAAGAAAAATCAACCCCAAACGTGCATTTAAACACTGCAAGATTAAAGACGCTATTTATGGTAAATAATTTACAATTAAAATCTGCTTCTAAGTGATATGTGAAAGATATTTACAATTTTTTAGCTGCTGTTAAGGATAATCGAAATTGTGCCGGTGTTACTGACTCGGATATCAAAATTAAGCTGGCTTCATGGTTTCAGCACGCACCAGAGAAAAATAAATCGGTAATATTTTATATAGTTTTATCATAATCCATCGACAATATAGGAGCGTAAAACTAGTATTTTTTAAGTATTTTTAAATCATTGCAGGAGCATAAAGAATCTTAGGTGGAGAATTAACAACATAAAAAATATGCAGCGTTGGAGTCTTGTATAATTTAATTACTGTTATTAAATGTCATAGTTATTTGTTAATAGTTATAGATTGTTATTAATGTATTCATTGTCATGTTTTGAATTGGAAATAAATATGTGAAAATATAATATTTCCAGTGTGAGACTAAATACTGCGCATATAATCATACATACTAAGTCAGATGTCATGAGGATGACTTCAGGAATATCCCCAAGACATCAAATAGCATGCTTCGAGAGACGACTTTTTGGCGGACATTGGCTCGTCTTACGGACGTCTTTATTACGTATCCGTATTAAAACCGATGTCGCTACGACAAACTAATCGTCTCGTTTAGATGTCTTAGAGGAGTCCAAACGACATAGTGTGGTAGCTTGGGTAGCTAATCAGCTGACGGGGAATAGTAAAAAACTCGTGAACTAATTTAGGAAAATAATGGTCAAATTTTGTTGAAAACAAATTTTAATAACTTTTTTGTGTTCCCTGCTGCAGAACTATTTTACCTACAAGGTACAAGTGACAAAATAATAAAATTACTGCGTTTTGATTAGTTAAAAAAATTTAAAGTTCCGCTTCAATTTCGAGGAGAACTTTTGTAAAAATTTTATAGGGTTTGATGGAAACTCATTTCCTGGGGTGTAACCACTTATCAAAATTTTATCAAAAGTACTTACAATGCAACATACAATTTCTACCTTGGATAAAAACCACGTTAGGGATTTTTAGCATCAAAGTCCTAAAATGTGGGGGCCTTTAAAGTCGAGGAGTTGCGTTCAAGGGAGCATTCCATTAAGACAAGTATGAAGCTAGACTACAAAAGGGACTTAAAAGATAAGCATGATACAAAAGTGGTTTTATATAGTGAAAAGCATGCTAAGTCCCTTGATAATAGTCGCAAAGACGATTTTTGCACCAGGACCTCAGAAAAAAATATTTTGTTCAACGCCATTTTATAAGAACTCTGGTTTGGAAAACTAAAAAAGAACACCTCTCCAAATTTGACCTTTCCTCATTTCGCAGAGTACATAAAATCGGAAGCCAGATATGCTTACCTATAGGTTGAGACATGGGCTTTCACATAAAAAATGTTAGAAATCTCTACAACTAAAAACCATCCCGCAATTATGGTATGAATTCGTCAAAACCATGTCCTAACGCCTTTTGTACATCCTAACCAAACCCCAAGAAATCCAGCCACAATTTTTTAGCACATATGTAAAAGTGGGTTTCTGTTGCTAGTGAAAGCTGGTTGACACCCACTTCAGAATTTAGCGATAGAGATACACCGAATGCCAAACCATAACGAATGCCATTACACTCTTTTTTAATACCTTTGTGTGCTTTAGCTATAAGAAAATTGCATTTATTTTTTGGCAAATTTATCTTTGATCTCATGAAATGGATTATGGGACCATTTGTAATGAACAACACCGAATTAATCAAACTTCTTGATTAATTCGCTCCGGCATTCGACAACATCTTAATTAGATTTCACTAGTCTGCACTATTTATTTAAATATCTATGATTGTACATGTACACATATTAATTCATTTTCATAAAACAATATACTATTGAAAGGATTTGAATAACTTGACGAGTTTAATAATTTTTGATGCTCAACACATTTCCATGAATAAATTAGAAGCGTGAATGTCAAAACTATTGAGAGATTGATTACCTGATAATAACCTCTGTTCGATATAATCCGCATTTAAATTTAATACAGCGTGTCGCTCATTGACAAATATCTAATGGGTAGTGATACTCGCTGCAAAATAGCAATTTCATCTCATTCTATTCCTGAATTTTTGCAAACAAATATCCTATACAAATGTATAGCACTCAGTTCCTCCCCTTATTAATTCGCCACTTCAAATTCTCCCACCTCATAGCAAGCGTCCCCTACGAATTTGACCCCACCTCTGGAAAAGTTACCGTTATGAAGTCCCTGAGACGATTACGCGTCACTCAAATTCAAACCCTCGTGACATCAATCTACTTATTAGTCCTGCTATACCATTATCTCTTTGACAACGTGTCAATCCTTATAAGATAGCAGGGATTCCCATTCATGATCTGCTACGGAATCCTGGTCTCAGTAGGATGGAACGTGGGACTAGATATCGCACCGGTACAAATTATAAACTCGATTATCACCTTCGAACGTGATCTGTTTAAAGGTAGCCAGATTTTTACAATAATTTTGAGTCTAAACTTGTAAAACGTAGTGTCCCAATTTCATATAACACCCTTTAGTTGGAGAAATTATAACAACATCGCTCGAAGCGAAAGCAATGGTCGCGTTCCTCACATTATTGGAATTCAGCGCTTTAGCAGTTCCACTCGCGGTGTTCTTGCTGCTAACCTTTGATCCATGCACGCCCCCCTTCCTGCTCTCATTCTCGTCAAGATGCGCCGATATTGCGTGGATGCCGCCTGGGAGAGAAATCTTCGTCGTACTGTTTGAAAGCTGGATGGCCCTGATATTGTTCAGCTCTGGGTCGGCGTGGGTGTTTTACATCCACGCCGTTTTCTGGGATTATGGCAATTCTTAACTACTTTCAGCTATTGAAAAGGTTATACTAATAAAAATCTTAGCTTTAACCACTGGTTACATCACGTTTCGCGAAACTTGCAAAAGTGGTCAAATAATTGAAGTTCACCCTCTGTATCCGAAAACTTTTCTCGTATTAGACGCGACACAGACCGTGACTATTAGAAATGCGTCTCGCATTCTTAAATAACCTGTTAAAAATTTTAATAAATGTTTCCTTTCAACTCCAGCCGGATTGGAAATTCGTACACAATTTTGGAAAATCTTGCCTGCCTCAAGCTCTACAGAAGTATTCAAATCTTGGAAAAATATTTGAATGGCTTTCTCATGGTGCGAATCGTCCCCACGATGATAAGTTGTGCTCCTTTGGCGCAAATAGTCTCTACGTACGTTTGCGTCAAAATGTATTCGAAAATAGCGATGCCGGGCTTTCTCGTGTTTCCCCTTATCCTGCTGGACTCCTTGGTTACGAACATGTTCATGTTCACGTTGGCGTCTTGGGTGAACTCTACTTCGAGTAAAATTATTCAAACCTGTGGCCGTCATACGGTGCAATTTAACGGAAAAAAATCCGTGGTTTCGAGGGAAATCAAGGCCTGCAGTGTGCTCAAGATTAAATTTGGCTAGAACTTTATCGACAATGGGACTCCCCTGGTAATTCAGAACTTCTAAATATATACTAAACGTGATAAAATGACGAAATTTCATTATTGTGTGGCAATTTAAAATTAACATAATGCAGGTTGTGTAAGCAAATATGTAAGAAGAATTTTTCCCAATTTGTGTTATACTAAGTTTTCTGTACGAAGCTTGATGGTGGGTGTGGTTAGTTAGTAATACATATAGTAGGAAGGTTTTGTGCAATATTTTTTAACCAATTTTGGATATCGCAATTTATTACAAAACCATATTGCCACGAAGTTGGTCATTTGTAATTTTTTCTACATTCATTCACGGTGGCACGAGTTAATATTTAGTTTCCAGACTTATTCCCCTGGTGCTTGTAATTTGGCAAGCAACATTGACCAAGGCGAGCACAGGGTAATGTTTTATTTTATAATCTGCATCTTGCCCTGCCTCAAATATGTACATATGTATGTACGAGATCGGTTTCATGCTTTTTTATGTATTTATGTATGTAAATGTGCATTTATTTTTTATGCAATCTCATGGAACAAAACTACACTGCCTAAAAGTAGATCATTCATCATCAGTGACCGTGGAAGCGTGGGGACCGAGGGGCCATGTCCCGATCATCTGCCCACACTATACATATGTATAGAACCCTTCCTGCCTTATCCTATAGTGTTAATGTCCCCACGCCTTCCGCGGCCACTGCTCGTCATTATTTACACATTAGTTTTGCACAGCGACATGAGTTAACAGTATGCAGATCATAAAATTCGTGAAACTTCCGACATTGGTGCATACGCAGAATTTGGCAAGCAATGTTCACCGAGGTCAGAAGTAGATCATGTTTCATTTGATGGTCTGCTCCTTAATCGCTCTGGAATAATTACGAAAACGTTTTCTTACTCTGCAGGGTGAGGATATGTGCACTTGTTTTAAAATGCGTCATGCAATACCACAAGATGCAGTCCCTAACAGAACCAAATCAGTATTTTTCTAGTAAACCGTCTGGAAAACGAATCCGTTTTCCATAGTATGGTTTGGCAGAGCGGGACAAACTAAATACGCGAATCCTAAAAACGCATGCAAAACTCGCATTTTCCCTACCTAAATACACGTAATATGCGCACGTATTACGGGGCGTTTATGAAAGCTAAAATTGAGCGTAATATGGACAGGTATTATGAAGCCTTTATGCACCCTGAAAACTAACGTAATTATGCGGCAATTACGGCAGTTTTACGAATGCTTAATTTACATGGTTTACATGCGTTTCATTAATAAAGAACACGAGTTACGACATAAATTTAAATAATATTCCACGTTTTTAATTATTCACAACATAGGAATACAAAAATACTCATCTATAGAATTACTTTTTACTGGAATTAGGACACATTTCTGACAAATATTTTCTACATTATTCGTACACCTGGATATATTTCTTAATGACACATTAAATATTTTTAAAATAGAGGTATTAATAGGATAATTTTAACTGCAGTTCTTGTTGTGAATTTTTTACATTCAATCATAACTTTGCAATTCTCCTTATATATTCTATTGACAATAACAAGGTCATTATTTTTTAATAAAAAACAGTTATTTCCCATTTTTGTGCCAATAATATATTTTCTATATCTAAATTTTTTAAACTCTTCATTTTTGTTCGGTTCATTTTTCACCTTTTTCTCATTAACAATAACAGAATCCTGGAATACACAAGCCTCCCACTCTTTTACTCTTTTTACTACTTGTTGCAAAGGGAGATTATTCCCCCGAATTGCTTTCTTTAGAAAGCAAAGATGACTTTCAAATTCGAAAGCACTTATATTATCAAGTGATCCAAACTTTAAGGCGTCATCTGCAATATGTAACAATGAGTGAACATTGTATACAATTGAACCAGACCCATAAAGTTCTGACATTTGTGTGACGAATTTTAGTAAGAGCGATTTCGCAAACGAATTCCATTCAGAATTGTTAGCACTTTTGGATAATAATATGTACATTGCGGTATGTAGAAGTAAATAGTGTCGAAAATATTTATCCGGTAAAACTGATCTAAATGCACAAGGTCCCGTATACAAAAGTAATTGTCTAAATTCGGTGGCCTTAAATCTATTTACATGAATTAATGATCGTGGGCGTCGTGCAAATTCATCTGGAAAATTGCTGGATATTTTTATAAGATACTCAGAAATTTGCTTTGAATTTGTCGTTGATATTCTACATTTCAGGGGTCCCGATAACCATAAATTAATTAATTTTCTCATTACACCAAGGCATACTAAATGCATATAGTCGAGTACGAAGCCAGAGACTAAGTCGACGTTTAATTTTAATAGAGGTGAATCTGCGTGATGATGGCGTGGGTCAGTTCTACTTCGAAATGATAGATTTGTTCTTAAATTTCCTACAATTGTTGGAAATATGATGTGACCTTCATGATCACCATGAACGTCGCATCGTTCACAAGAATTGTAACCAGAGTGACCTTTGGTGCATTTTAGAAAACTTCTGGCTGGGGCATCACAAATGAAACAACGAATGGAAAAATTAATTTGCTTGTCACCTAAATATATTCCATGCGTTTGTAGTTGGTCAATTTCAGTGGTAAATTGATTTAAGTACTCAATTAAATTGGATGGTTTACTGTCACCACAGAATAACCCTGCCAATAATGGACGACATTGTGAAATTTGATCAATTTTTATCAAAATAGGCCACATTTGTTTACTTGAGCTATTGTAAATCGGAAACCCGTCGCAACCAATTGTTAAAGTAACCTGACTAATATTTATAAATATTTTCTCGTAAATTTTATGAACTAATCTAATTTGCTCCTCAACTCCAAAATAATAATATTGACCCCCAGAAATATATTTAACTGCAATATGTCTAGGCGTTCCTAATAAAGTTTTAGAGGAGGTTGGAAGAGCTGTGTCTGGAAAGTTGGCAATCATTAATTTCAATAAATCATCTAGTGCTACGTGTGAAATATTATGATTTAGACTCCACCTTTTTAAATCGTTTGAAAGATTAGATGTGGATAAGGGTAATGGATTTTCTTCGTCCTGATCTACTACATAACTTTCTACATTGATATTTACATTATTACGTGGGTTAACTGTGAATGTTTCTGCACAGGCTACCACTAAAGTATTACTATGTACACTTACATTTAAATTGTCATTTAAATCTTATCGTTAGCACCGGTGAAATTAATTTTCGCTGCCAATTCAGAAGATAGCGCCTTTGTCAAAATGCCGGAAACAACTTTTTGCGTCCTTTTCCCTCCATCCACTGACCAAATGCGAGTCTTGAAAAAAAGTGTTGTTAGAAATTAGTCAAAAAGGCATTAAATACTTAATTTATATTACCAGATTTTCGGAATTTGTCTTATCAAGCCATGACTCAAGGGTGGCAATGTCAGCTTCCGATTGCAGAGGAATCTCCACAGGAAGAGTGACTTCTGGTTCCCCAAAACTTGTCCCCAGATGAGCCAAGATAGTCCGAATATCCTCTTTAATTGATGATAACTCTTTTGCAATCGTTTCCTCTAAAGCTGCCACAAAAATCAAAATAAAATATTTTCGACCCATTTTGTGTAAAAACAGGAATTCTGATTTACTAACCTAACTGTCTCATACAAATGGCATCTAAATTTGGGATTATTCTGGTTGAGCCCGACGACCCGGCGTTGTCATTCTGTTGTCCGTCATGGCTAATGATACCGCCTTCAGGTTGGCCAACCAGATCACCTCCTGTTCCACATGGATTGTCGGAATTCGGGTCAATCTGTGAGCGACTTCCAGTAGTCATTTCCTCTCCATTAAAGAGCTGGAGTCGGAACACATTTCCTCCCACAGCTACAAGACCTGAAAATGTTAAGCAGGGACTTAATATGACGTCTAATGATAATCATTGTACCTTGACATTGATAAATGACAACTGCTAGACTCAAGGTGAACTATTTTTCAACTTACTTGAACCGTCGTCTGTAACACCAATTTGCGACACTTCCTCGCCTTGTTCTTGGTTGGCGTCGGTCATAAGAGATAATGGTAGGATTTTGGGAGGATTATTTTCTTCCCCGCCCTCTGCGTCAGAAGTGTCCAGGTCACCAGTAAATCGGGCAGCTTCTTCCAATTGTCGTCCTTCTAGAAATGTATCTTTAGATGCGCAATAAAATTATAATATTTTAATTTAAAGTAGTATAAATAAATTAAAAATAATATAATTTGTATAATTACCTGCAGTTTTCCAACATGTGACATCCAACTTTGGCCAGGACTTTTTTGGCTTCTCAGCTCTCTTTATTAATGATGTGACGTTACTACTTGGGCCAGGTGGCCAAGAACAAAGGCGCTTATCAGCACTTATCCAGCTTGATGGCACTAATTGCACCGAACGGTCCAACTTAAACTTTACGACGGAAAACATTTTAATAGTGAATGCAAGGACCACGCACTCGTCTTATTTCAAATATTCCCTCTTTAGTTATTTTGTCTCACTAAAAAATAACGTGCTGTTTACGCATGTATTACGAGGTGCATAAATACGCAAGGATTTTACACATATATTAAATGAGTTTTATCAGCCATGAATACGCATGTTTTACTGTGACGTAAACCACTTCTATTACCTTCGTATTACTTGTTCATAAAATGCTGAGGATTTCTCTTGTGTTTAATGCAAGTAAAACTAACTAAAATTATTTGAAAAATATTTTACGGACTAAATACGCGTCAACGTACAAAAAACGCATGAAATACGGCTTCAGGTTCTGTTAGGGGTGGTTAAAAATATTCTAACTTTACATTTCATTGAGGAGGAGAGCTTCACTACTTGTCACTTTCAGAATTCGATGCCCTTTTGAATATGTTGTATGTAGTACATATGTATGTACATACATATCCCATGAGTGAATAAAGGGCGTGGCCGACACTCAAGGTTGGCGAACAACACGAAAAAAATAACTTTTCAAACTATAACTAAAAATTAAATTTTATTCGGATTGTAAAAATTCTTGCGGATAGTTGTTTTCATTGCGTTTTTGTAGGAATTATGATGGCAAGCTATTAAATTCTGTGTATGTTTTTTTAAATTTCTTAATTAGGGGTATGCCTTTGGAAAATCAAAATTTAAAAAAAAACTTGAATTGGCAATGAAAAAGCGACAATTTGGGAGTATAATGGGGGAAGAATTTTCTAAATCTGAGTAAAATTAGATTTTTGGTAATGGTTTGACTAGGTCAAAATAGGGCTTTTTGGGTCATTTTTTGTTCCTTCGAGTAACTGGGTGCAAGTGTGGCAAGGGAGTCAATCCACTTGAAAATTTTAATAGATTCAGTAGGCATTGAAATATAATCTAAGGACATCGGAATCTGAAAGTGACAAGGAATGAAGCTCTCTCCTTCAGTAAAACGCAAAATATGAATGCAGAAAATACTGAGTATTTCATCTTGTGCTAGAAAAGTACGAAACCGTTTTCGCATGAATTTGAGGAGAGACAAGAAGCAAACTAAAAGAGCAACATAATCGCCATGGTAAGAGTTTCTTTCCAAATTCTATGCACCTAAAAAATATATTTAAAAAAATTTAATTATGGTAGACCTACATTTTTGCAACTCTGGAGATGGTGTCCAAGTAAAATTTCTCAACCTGTAATAAAAAATAAAATAAATTGTAAATATTTAACCCCCGCACTAACAAATTATGTACACCTTACACCTTAACCTAAGGGACGGCAGGGCCAAAAAGGCCCTGCGGGTCCCTGTAGTGACGACTGATTCGGTAAAATTCGTTGACAGCGGAGTAAAATTTGAGAAATAAAAAAAAATTACAGATTTACCGGTTTAATTGACTAAAGTTGTCCGTTCCTTAATTTTTAAATATTTCACTGTCCAGTTATGGTACGTGATGACATGAGTAGCAAACTGTACACTGTTCTTCTCCTGCTGCAACTCTTGATATTATTTTCTCCTTTGCAGAAGATGTTTCATGCACAATTTTTTAAACGTAAAGAAAGAGACGGTCTGTCTAAATATGTACATGTATACATACTCATTGGTTGCGGGTAAGGACAAGAATCTGCTTTATTATTCGAAAACTTGGCATTGAAAAAGTTTCTTGACTTTTGTACATACAAAAGTCTACATATCTGCAGGCACAAGGTTAAAGAAACGTTTTAGCGGAAGAGACGTTCACATAATGCTATTTAAATAATTTCGGTTATTAAAAGATCACGAGGATCTTCCACCCAGTTTATGTATTCTTTTGTACATACATACATACATATTTACATACATGTATAAGTATGAATGGTGTTTCGCGTACTATGTGGCTGGTCTGGATTATCATGTACATATTATAGATACATACATATTAAAGTATTTAGATACCATGATTATTCGTGCACCGGATTGCATCGGTTTACGAAGATCTGCATACTATGTACAAATGATACAGGGAGAAAGATTATCTGTAGATTAGTAACGTTTTTTGTGTTTTGTGTGAATGAAATATTTTTTTGTTAAAAAAACCGTTTCCTGATAATACGCGTTTATTTATAATGCATTAACATTTGAACAAAATACTCGAGTATTTTGATGACTTGATCAAGTCAACTATCGCATGCATGCATATGATACAAATTTAGGATGACAACACAAATGCGTTTGGAGAAATTTGCAAAATTCTCAAAACTTTTGCTGGAAAAGTTTGATTTTTTTAAACAATTTTACCCAGTAACTGGGCAGGTTTTAGTTTATAAAATTCATCCTCTGTATCAAAAATTATTATTGGAATAAGTTCAGATAACTCGAATGAAAATAGGATAGCATAACCGTTCTTATAGCTTTGTATAATATAATTGCGAAAACATTCTTTTGCCAATTTTCTGGCTTCACTAATTTCTTTTAATTTTAAAACTTGCAAAGTTACCAGATGTGCTAAATACTTAAGACTTTGTCGTGAGTACGCCCATATGCATCAATGCTTATGTTATGATTAGTTGAATATGTGTGTGTTTATGTATGTAGATCAATATATACATACATGCATACGTGTGTATTTATGAGTCTTGGTCGATGATATTTTTATGTATTTGTGCATATAAAAACACATATTTTTACCTAATTAATAGTTCATGGTCAGGGGGTTATGGTAATTAGTGACCCCTGGGAACATCTGGGGAAATTGTCATTGTGGGATAACGGGGAGGGGTTTATATAACAGTGGGGACATCGAATACTTAACCATGTCCCTGTCCACTGTCCCTGTATGTATTTGCATATCGAACATGCAGTAATAAATGGTTCTGCGTAATGTAAAAATATGTTTACATTGTATGTACTGCGCGGTCCGTGTGCATTGCTACCTTGAATTTTTTGAATGTAAATGCATTGGCCTGCAAGGGATATAGAGCATTTTTTGTTTGTTAGAAATCGCCATGAAAGTGAAAAACCTCATGAGTCCAGTTTTGCCCAGAATACGAATCCGATCATATGTATCCAAGAAATTGATGAAGCTTACGCCTAAAAGAGTGAAATTATCATCGACTACGACTCTGAAACTGGTGCTGTTATTGAAGTTTAATTTGAGCGTGATTCTGCAGGTAAAATGTACCATCTGCATATATGTATGTATGTGTATATGCAAATAGTATACATATTGCCGTGTCCTGGTTCATTATTTATTTCAAAAATAGTAGCCTTGTCCAAATAAAATCTGAATCCCAGCTATGTACCGATTTTGTGAGTAGCATTCGGCTACTTAATTGAGTTTTTACGGTACTTATTTGTATAAACCGTCGTGTTTTCCCCAAATGGAAGATTACTTATCACTCCAATTCGATAAGTCTGGGTAGGGTTGCCGGTGAGATGAGATGAAGTGAGACAGAGCTCATCTCACCCCATCTCATTACCTGGTGGGATGAGTTGAGAACTAAATGAGTTCGTCAAAACCCTGGCTCGTCTCATCTCATCTCATCTCATGCTCAGATGAGATGAGATGAGATGGCTCATTTAGCGCTTCGTACGCAATATTTTGCCTAAAATTCCTATAGAAAAATAATGATGTAGTGACAAGGGCATGTAATCTCGATATTTCAATATCCAAATTTCGATATTATAATATGAATTTTGATTTGGTCACAAAATACACCCCAAAGTTTCTATGGTTGACTTTTAACCTAGTTACATACACCCCACAATTTCCCAAAAATAATTCTGACTTACATCAACCTCGATAGTTTCCAAAAATGAATTTTGACTTGGTTACACCCCCAATGTTCCCAAAATGGATTTTGACTTGGTTACACCCCCAATGTTTCCAAAAATGAATTTTTACTTGGTTACACCCCCAATGTTCCCAAAAATGAATTTTTACTTGGTTACACCCCCAATGTTCCCAAAAATGAATTTTTACTTGGTTACACCCCCAATGTTCCCAAAAATGAATTTTTAGTTGTTTACACCACCAATATTTCCAAAACTGAATTTTGACTTGGGTACACCCCCAATGTTTCCAAAATTGAATTTTGACTTGGGTACACCCCCAAAGTCGACAACAATGAGTTTTGTCTAGGTTACACCATAAAAGTTCGTAAATTGAATGCTGATTAATATTTATTAATGAGCTGATCTCGTCTCACTTAACTCATCTCATATCTCATGGGCTCGTCTCATCTCATCTCATCTCACTTTACCCGTCTCATGTGAGTTCTCATCTCATTTAGCGGCCATCTCATCTCATCTCAAACTCATCTTCACATGAGATGGGATGAGATGAACTCATCTCACCGGCAACTCTAATCCTATTATTACCTTATCTTATTCGCCCATCTCCCCAGTGACTCGTGTCATACACAGATAAGCCCACCGTGCATTCCCCATACGAGACGCGACACACATGCATGTAAACATTTAAAGCACCCCGAATCCACTCACTTTCATCAGTCTAGCTTTCCCAGTAAGTTTCTTATTTAGTGTCCACCTTTCCAAAAAACTGTCAACATGCAGGTCTTCCCCGTCGTCCTGCTCCTCGTCGCCGACAGCTTGGCCACCTCCATCAAGCAAAAGAGAGAAACCGGCCCACCGTGTCGTACGTTAAAAATCAAAATCTCGAAAATTTCGCAAATTTCTTAACTGCTAAAACCCTCTAATTTTACAGCCCTTCCTCCCGTCTACATCGGCACAGAGGGCCCCCTGAACATAACCTATCACCCAATCCTCGAAATCCACCAGGGCGGAACCCATAGGTAACTTGATATGATGTACCCTTCTCTCATTTTTTAAAACGTTTTGTTATATATTTTCTAACGTTTCCAAACGTTTCGTTTAATAGAGTCTCCACCATCAATGGTCTGAACACCTTCATTTACGAATACACCATCAACTTTCTCACTCTCACGGCCGAGTTCACCATCACCGTTGGATCCCTCAGCCTGGACACGACCTACACCGCGACCGGGTACCTGGACGCGAGGCCCTTCTCGCAGGGATGCATCCCATCCGGAAACTTCACCGGGAACGGTGCCGCTAAAGCTACCATTGTTGGACTCCGACTTGTCGGAAATGCCACCATTGTAGTCAACCTGATGAACGAGTTTATGTACATCCGTCTCTTGGCCGTGTCCTCCTTCTCCTTCACCTCCGTCATGGTCGACCTCAGCGCAAATTACTAAATCGGAGGGGCTCCCGTTGACTGGCCCGCGTTCAATGGGGGACTCAAGGCTTGCTTTGATTCCGAATTTGCCGCCAACAATGCCGCCGTCGTGGCGAAAATGAGGCTCGCGGTGAATGAGAAGCTTTTCCGTGTTAGGTTCCAAGATTTCTTGGACTTTCTTGACGGCGGTGATACCACCTGCCCACCTCCAACCTATTAAATTTCTTTAATTACTTGAAAGAAAAAATTTACAAAATTCAATATTTATATACTTGTTAAATATTACATACGAGTAAAAAACTGATCGCAATGATAAAACCCAGCAAAAACCTGTTAAATGTCAGATGGAGTCATATTAAATCACTTTTTTAGTATTTTTTGCCCCCCAAGACATATGCAGTTGCACCACAGCACAGCACAAATTTAATTTGTGCCGTGCTGTCAATAATATTAACCTAAATGTGCACTTGAAATGAACTTCATTTACACTTGGTTCACTTTTTAGTGAGTAATGCTTGATATAAATACATACATTTTTTATTACAAGAATATTTATACACAAACTTCCTCGGAGAGGATACCACTAACAAGCAAGATTATCGCAAAACAAGAGTGAAAGAAAAGTTTGCTTTCTTTACTCATGAATAAAATAAGTCCTTGAGAATTGTATTATTTAGGTATTACGCAAGTCAGTCAACTAATGACTTCAAAATTTTGAAGTAATTACTTCAAAGACTTCTTTGTTCAAGTTCGAAGTACATATGTGCATATGTTTTGTGACTGTGATGTCCACATGTCAATCAGGTTAGATAGCGTATTTATTGCATGAAAATCTCAGATTGAGTTTGTACCCATACATACATATATCTAGTGATTTTGCATTAGACAGCGTTTATGGCTTGGTACATATGTACATATAATTTTTTAGCAATTATTTTGGTTCTGACTGTCGTCGTTTGTTCCACTGGGTACGCTGACATTGGTCCATGTGCTTCTTTGTGAACCATTTCTGAAAATGGGGTAAAGAATGAAATTAATTAAGTAACAAGAATTTTTTGGTGTGTAAGTAAATATATACTAAAATTATGCCGTTAAAAAACACCAAATTAGTACACACAAAATATTTTATGACGTTTAGTAACACCTAACAAAATTCCGGAAGCAAGTACTAAAATGCACAAAAATGTGCAAAAATCGTCTACATATGTACATATTTAAGTGCAAAATAAATATTAATATTTCAATTTATCCAGATTTTTGACTAATCAAAAAATATTTCTGCTCTTCTATGGCATTTTCCTCGTCATTTTATTTTCAAATTAACTATTTCTCGTTTTTATATTTTCCGTTCTATTCAAGGTTTATGTAGATATCGGAATCTTTAGATTGACGGTAGAAAAATATTAAATTTCCTGTATGAGTCGTTTTTCATTCATTTTTATGCATTTTTGTACACTTTATGTTTTTTTATGCATTTTTAAGCAACAAACCAATTTTGTGTCCAGAAGAGAAGCACAGCTAAAATTTTCCCATCAGAATTACTTACCGCTACCACGGCAAATGTAACTTCAAACTGGTCGGCCGTGCTGGAGATCAGGTTTTTTTCCGGGTAACACTGCAACTCCTGATAGATTTGACTAAGTTTCGAAATTTGTGAAGGCCTCAATTCTTCTGGGCGGTAGCTGGAGCTTTCTAAATTCATAAAATTAGTGCATCAATTATTAAATCAAGTAATTTATTTATGAACCTTAAATTATAATATTTCCCACGAAAAATATTTAAATTTATAGTATTTTCTACCTTGCAGACTTGATGATGGCGACAAATCATCAAACGACATCAAACTCGTCCCCTGGTTGAAAATCCGGCCTGTTTTTGATGCCGGGCCTGGTTTGCGATATGCAGGATTGGGCGGGGACGTTTGATTTGGCAGGAATTTCGGATGATTTTGGGATGGTCCACTCCCTTCCCACGTGCTCACGTGGTGTTCATTACCGTGTGGCGTTGACATAACGGGGTAAGTAGCTTCACGATTAGCGATATTGACCTCGACGGGAATCAGGTGACTCCAGCTGATGTGGCGGTACAGCCCTTCACAATTCTGTTCTGCCAAGCAGAAGGGACACGACAGCAACTCCTTGTCCTCTTCGAGCACGTGGTACATTTTAAGGTGCTCTTTGAAGTCGATTCCTTGGCGGGAAATGGTGTCGAAACAGACCGGACAATGTCTTAAGTTGTGTTCCTTTCTTTGATGGTCAACCCCATCGCGGCGGGAGCGGAAACTCTTGTCACATATCCGACAAGTTTGAATCAGGTCGACGAGCTGCTTCGCATTTTGGAAGCGGGGTGTTTCCAGTGATATTTTTGGCGGGAGCGAGGGCATTTTGGATATTTTTGGCGGGGGCGGAGCACGTGGCATTGTGGTGGGGGTATTTTCTGTCTGGATCCAAATCGATCCACCGGACCGTCGAAATTTCACAATTATTGGAACATGAGACTTTAGCTGCACGTTGATTTCCGATAGTGAAGATTTGGACGTATCGGGTGGCAAAAAATTTTGCGAATCCATGACAAGAGTTGGTTTGCCGGAAGCTTTAGTGGAGGTGGTGGACGTGGAACTGGTCGATCCCATTGTGGGCGAAATTGGTGGAAGATGGTCTGGAAATGTTAAAAAATGGTTTTTAGTGACTTTATTAATAATAACCTCACTTGGGTCCGCGTATTAATATGTACGCATTATGCGGAAAACAGATTGGGCGTACTAACGACGACTTTGAAATTGAGGCAGAAATTTTTTTAGTATATTTTTTAAAAGGTTGTCAACAATGAGAAACGGATTCTACATACATACTTATTAATACACAATAAAAAATCTTAGTGCAGTCTTAGTGCACATAGTGCACTTATTTTAATATATGTACAATATGGCAAGATGAGTAGTTAAAAATATGTTAATTTGTACTTTACATTTCACTGAGGAGCAGAGCTTCACTACTTGTCACGATTTTGATGTAATTTGGACACGTTATATATCCCATGTGTGAGCAAGAATATATAAGTGGTGTATTAATTCGATGGCCACCTTAGTTTCGTCCGTCACACCCACGTTAAGGGGTAAAAAACACGAAAAATCCACTTTTTAACATTATTCGGGATAGGGAAAACATCGAAAAATTTCACTTTTTAGCATCACGTTCTCCACAAAATATCAAAGAAATATGCTCTCTTTTGTTTATAAATTTGGGAGTCAGTGTAATTTATAGAGTACACAAATTTGGGAGTTTTGTCGTCAAAATAAAATACTAAGCAATGTGTAATATGTACTTCTTGGTTAAGAGGTTAAAATAAGTCCACGTGTGTTTGCTCATCCAGACAAGGAAGAGTATGTTCTCGTATCTACATAAGAAGTAGACTACAAAACAATTCACACTCTACTGCTGACTCAGCACTAGAGTATGAGCAGGGTTCGCTACCCTGGGGTTTTTGTGTTTTTTGGGGTATAAAATCCCCGGAAAAACCCCAAATGCTTGATGCAGGTTTTGTGGAGCTTTCCATGGTTTATGTAAGATTTTAGGGCAGATTGAAACAAGATTCTTGAAAGTTAGATTAATGAAAATTAAATTTTCGGATTCACCATGTACATAATTGTGAGCGTTTTATGTGCGACTTGAATTTCCAAGTATCTACAGTATTATTATGTACATATGTACATATTCCTGATTAGTTTTTAGGTTTATGTGCACGGTGCATAAGACCCCACTCATTCCAATGACCCCGACGGGTCAACCACTCGACGGAGATTGTTCATCTTCCAAATCGTTTCCTAACTTTGGTCAATATGCATATCGTAAAAATTTCAAGTCGGTCGGTCAAATCGTTCGAGAGTTATCGCAAGACAGACGGAAGGACATGACGATTACATACTAAGCCCTGGTTCGGGCTAAAAACCCCAAGGATTTGCGAACCCTGGTAACATTGAACCCGAGCTGATGGGCCCGAGCAGTCAGCAGTGCTTACTACTTGGGCCTAGGGCATCATTGCACAATGGGCCAGGAGCCTAAAAATGTGGCCATTAAGGCGGTATCTTGAATTGGCTGTTCACATATTTCAACGTGTAGTATAGAACCAACATGTCCTCCATGCAAAATATAAAACCAAATGTTACACCCACCCGGGTAAACTTTGCATAATACATTACGAAGATAGGGCGAACACATTTTCTAAAAACTTCACAAAACTTCACGCATTGCGGACTCAAAACTCATGCCATTAAATAGCCCATGGTGTGCTAAGTACACCCTGCTGCGACCGTCTGCGACCATCAAGCTTTATTCCAACCACACCCACTTTTAGTCATTAAAGTTAAAAAAATCAAATTTAAGTTGAATTGCCTTTACTCAAGTATGCTTTAAGTATACTCACTCATTGGACTTTCTCAGCAAACTGAGGTGGTAGCAGGAACGTATATTGGGTGTGAAAACCACACCCTCTGGTAGGGGAATCAAAATTAAAGACATTTCTTGCTGAAAGGCTTGATGGCCGATCTTGTCATGCTTAACAACATTGAAAGTTGAAATTCGGATTACTTTTCCAATTATTGACCGATTTTCAAAGTGGCGACTGTTTTGGAAACCCTAGGTCAATGGGCGAAACATATATTTTCAGCTTTTTTTAATTCGACCACACCCCCTCGAAATTAAGGTCACAAGGTCAAGCAACTTGTAGAATCAAATTAACGAATACCGCAAAATTTCAAACAATAAAAATCGAAGTGCATGTCGAAAAAATACCTCGACAGCCTGGCCACTACTAGCAATGTTCAAATCGTCACATGCCACGCCCCCAGTGGGTGTGGTCCTCGGCAACTTTTAGATTTTAACGAAACCATGTCATGTGATATGTCATTTTTCTCAGCTCGATGAGAGGATCTCAATGGAGTGATTAAAATTTTGTCACCACACCCCCAGTGGGTGTGGCTCTAAGAAAATTCTCAATTTTAGCGAGAACAATATCATGTGATATATCATTTTTCTCAGCTATACGAGTGGATATCCACAGAATAATTAGAATTTTGAAACCACGCCCCCAGTGGGTGCGGAATTCAGCGAGTTAAAGTTGTTTTCTCCGATTTTAAATTTCTCCCACACCGAAATAGCACTACCCGTATTTTGCGTTTCCATGAAGGCTCGCGTTTTCGGTTGTGGCGGTTTAGAGGGCATTTTCAGCCCAAATTAAAATTTGTCAAAAATTTGTATGTTATATAATTTTTACGCTATATCATAAATGAAAGAGCAAAACCATTTTTTCTCAAAAATTACAAAAAAAGATTAGAAAAATACATTTGTAAAAGTTTAAGGCTTTGTATGCTATTTCAAAATTTTGAAAAATGCAACAAGAAATTGTAAAAAATTGCAAAGTTTGAAAGTGGGTTTTTCTTAATTTACGTAATGCAATTCAAATTATTTTGTTGAAATCCCCTCGTTTAGTTAAGAGAAATGATTTATTACATGACATGACGTGGTTTAGTTAAAATCGAAAAGTCGCTGATTTTTAGTATTCCGTCGAAACATCCTTGTTGAGCTGAGAAGAATGATATAACACATGGCATGGTTTTATTAAAATCGACAATTTTCTGGGAACCACACCCACTTGGGGTGTGGTTTTCTAAATTTTAGGTATTCCGTCGATACCTCTAATCAAGCTGAAAAGAATGACATATCACACTACATGGTTTCGTTAAAATCGACAATTTGCTTAGAGCCACACCCACTGGGGGTGTGGTGTCAAAATTATAATGATTCTGTCGAGGTGTCCTCGTTGAGCTGAGAAAAATGATATGTCACATGACATGGTTTCGTTGAAATCGAGAAGTCGCAGAGGGCCACACCCACTGGGGGTGTGGCATGTGACTATTAAAAATTTCCTCATATAATATATGCCTTAGGTTATTGTTGCACACCAAAATCTAGTTCTAGTTTCTTCAAACTCGGCTTCTATATATTTTTGGCCAAAATATTTTAAATCTGGCCCACTGTGCATTGCTTGTAAAATTTCATGCACCAACTTTTATCCGTTGGAACGAAAAAGTGGAAGGATGCGTAAACATGTATGTATACACAAGTCTGATGATGATCTATGTATGCACAAGCTGGCAACTCGTGTCCCTATGCACAACAAGTTACAAATGATGCACAAATGATGTAAATGACCTATTGCATATACAGGGTAGTTAAAATACGCTACAATGGACAATTTTTTGATGGGAAAAATCCATAAATTTCCATTAGTTACCGAAATGTTGTCTCTAAAATGCAACATTTTAAGAATTTTGTCACCAGTTTTGAAAATAATTTATAAAAATCTCAATCCCAAATCTTGTAACTAATGGAGATTTAGGGACTTTTCCCATTGAAAAATTTTCCATTGTGGCGTGACATTTTAACCACCCTGTACTTGAGGCAGTGTAGTTTTCACTGTGTAACTAGTTTTTTTAAAACATGATATCAAACACAGGTGAAAAATGTTTTACACAAAATATTAACTAACCACACCCACCTGCTCATAATGTCATTTGAGTTTTACACAATTTTGCGACGGTTTGCAAAATCTATCCATTCGTTGGATAAATTTTGTACAACTTTATCAAAATTTTGCATGACGGTTGGACATATTTTACCTTTTAAATAGTTACGTCATCCTCTTTTTTTAACTTAATCTTGAGTAAATCTTTTGGAGTGTAAAAATATCACGACGTGAGTACACCCATTAAAGTTAGAAAAATACTTGGAGAGGGGGGATTAAATATATATGTATTTTTTCAAAATTTAATGATGGTAATCTACTTGCTCACAACTTAGGGGATGTCCATGCAAAATTTCTGAACCTGCAATAAACAAGCTATAAATATTTATTCACCTTGCTTAAAAATTACACCTTACCTTAAAAGACGGCAGGGCCACTATGGCCCTTTGCTCCCCTGTTGGGACGACTGATTCAAATTCGACAGCGGAATAACAATTTGAGTAATTGATAAAAAATAATTTAGGGATTTTTCAATTTAACTTACCAAAGTTTTGATTCCAGTTCCTCGACTCGTAAGACTTTTAACTTCCACCAGGCTGTGGTACGTATATAAATACGTATGTACCACAGCCTCGTGGCATGAATCGTTTCATGCATGAGATTTCATGAGAAGCAAACAAGGCCTGACAGGAGCAGGTTAATTGAATGGGTGATCTAAAATTGCATGCGAACGAGCCACCATACCGACAGTCCTCAAACTAAACCACAACTAAACAGACTAAAATGACGATTTACTTCTTGTATGATGGCTCTCATGTTGGGGAAAAACAAGCAGATCGGAGTGGGGTCCATCCAACCACAATGTGTATCTAAGTTGGTTTATTGACCGTGGTCAGAAACATTAGTTAAGAATTACTTAAAAATTATTTCGAAAATATGTCATGAAGAAATAATGAGAATTTGAAGGTTATCGTAATTTGGTAACAAGTTTGGTAACATGCTACCTGTACCTGACGTTGAAACTGAGTCTCAACAACCTCACAGAATTTTATACATACAATGCATGCCTTGTATGTGTTGTATATAACATTCTAGTGATGGTGGTGATGAGTGATGACGTAATGTTTATGTTCTCAACCAAATCAAAACATCACGTGGCGTGCATTCTCGCTGAACAAACAGCAATGGTACTCCCTCTGCTTATATTAATAAAACTCTATGGAAGCAAACCTCACACTAAAGATCTCCTTCTCCTGCTGCAACTTTTCTTAGGATTAGTTCCAGCTAGACTCGTCAGGATGGTTTTTTATATGCAATTTTATTGCAACGTATGTAAAGGATTGACAAACCGTTACATAAGTATCTAAATATGTAGATACGTACCCTGTTAAAAATGTGGTAAAGTTAGTTACAAATTTATGTACACTCCGTGATGGTATTGATTTGGTGATAACTTCTCTCTGGGTTGGTAAAATTTGATTCTGACTGGTGAGTTATCATCACCACAACAGTGTATAAATATTTTTCATTATACGGTAATGCCCGTTATCACCGCGCCGGTGAAGGTATATATGCACTCCGATTGGGGATTATTCAACACCATTTTGCTTAGGATATATTCTCGTAAGTTGCTGGCAAATATACGAGTGTTAAAAACTTGGATGTTGTGCGGGCATGTAAATAGGTAGGTATGTAAGGTTCAGATACGTTGTAGCAAGTTCTGACAGACCACGGAGACATTTCATTTATACATAGTGTGTAGAAAAACTCAGATTTTACATAGGGAGCGTCCATAAATCACGTGATCGATTTTTGGACAATTTTGACCCCCTCCCCCCCCTTGGTGACCGGTGGTGATTATTTCCCTACCCCCCCCACCGGTCACGTGACAGGAGATGATGCTCAAATTAAATCATGTTGTCCGGAGTAACAATAATTTTTAAATCATTAATCAAATTAGAGCTACACACATGTGTAAATGACTATTTAATACGCCAGTAAGACAAGAATTTTAAGTCGAAGCAAATTTCTAAATATGCAAAATGACAATCAAGTTTATATAACGTGCGTGTGGTATGCCAAGAGAGTTTACTTATATATAACTCTCATGACATTTATTGGCATATACAAAAGTTAAAAAAAACTTCATGTCACGTGACATCTGACCATCTACAACCCCCCCCCCCCCCCGTGATAATTGGTGACAAATTTCAGACCCCCTCCCCCCCTCTAATCGATCACGTGATTTATGGACGCTCCCATACATACATTGGGTTGCTTAAAGTAATAATGGTCAATTTTGTGCTCAGTACCGTGTATGATATTTTTACCATGGGATAACCATGGGCTAATTCTGCAGGCGTTTTTACAGCCAAACTAATTGATAAGAAAATACTTCAAGTAGAATTTGTAAATCTGACTCCTTTCGGGAGAGATTGAGAAAAAACTTCAAAAACATGAAAAACTGTAATGACAGAAGTAATGGTGGTACCTAATTTTTTATATCGAAAACCCTCACACATCTGAATGTCGTAACGTTAGTATAATACGATTTGATGTTCATTACAGTACAAATTTACTAAAAATGGTTAAAAAAGTTTAGTTTTGTATCGCTGAGAAAAATTTGAGCACTCACGAAAGAAGGATTGGACTACAAAATATCTATTTTCTGACCTCGTTTAAGCTCTAGAAAATTCCGAATATCATGAAGAGATTCAAGCAAGCTTGTCCCCAGCAAGGCAAGAAAAGACCGAACCACCAAACCAAAGCAGAAAAATGTAACTTAGTAACGACAGCCATTTTGTGAAGGTCACAGAGGTTACCAAATGTCATTTCCTCAGCAAACAAAGCCGACGTTGAGGAGAAAATTAAGCTCTCGATGAACGAGATGTCCCAGTATAGGATCGAAGATTTCGTGGACTATCTTCCATGGGAACCTAAACCCACCTGCCCACCAGGCACCAACTAAATTTCTTTTTGGCGGGAATGACAGTAAATTCTGGGTTTATGCATTTTGTAAGGAATAAGATTCTATTCGAATTGGCGAATTCTACTTATTGAGAAATAAAAATAAAATCTGTCTTAGTCACGCGTATTTATGTATATGTGTGGAAGGGTGTTAGGCACATTTTAGTTGTGAATCCCTCCACCTACAGATGTGTCTATGGACAAAACTAACAATTTGTGGTTGCCCAACGTCAATGAGATGCATATGCATGTATGTATGTATTAAAAACTTAAATGCGGGTATGGCGTTCTGACACTGCTACAAAGTTAAAGTATTGAAGAGTGTGTGATTAATCGGTTCACTCAATAATTTAGTCTATATTAATATATAATAATTATAATTAATAGCCTAAATTATTGAGTGATTAATCAGAAACTTCATTTCCTTTGGAAGAGAGTTTCATAAGCAATTACCGTTCAGCTTATTTCGGCATATAATATGTACAGACTATTCTAACAAAATTGAAATTGCTATTCCATTTAATTGAATTTATAAGTTTTTAATTAGTACAAACAAGTTTTTATCACCAACTTGATAAATGCAAAAAAAAACAAATCGGGAATATGAAATTCGATCGGAAGACATGAGACTGAATAAACTCTCATCTACATCACTTAATAATAATCATTGGAGCAATTCACGCAGTCCTTGGTACATTACAAAATCTGTAAATTCTATAAACTTTCACCAAATTTTAGAAATATTTGTAACGAAAGTTAGCTTACAATTTTTGTAAACTTGCTCAAATCAAGGCCGTGTTTTAGATTGTACTATTTTTATACAAGGAGGAAATTTCGAAAACTATCCAAACTCAGTTCACTACACAGAAATTAAGTGGCTTTCGATTAAGATTAAGTAGAAATTTGAAATACAAAAACTGGTAAAGCAACATACGGCGTAAATATCATTTCACTTACAGTTTCAGTGGGTCACCTGGTATGTCAACCCACCTTCATAAAACTTATCGTAATTTTCCTCAAAAAATGTGGAATCCAATGCAATCCAATTAACTTCAAACCGATAAATATTTAATTAATTGATTTATCTGCTTGTAAATCGATAACGTATATAATTGTGTGCATACGGTATAGATTTCTCTACGTAAAGTATAGTCATGTTTTCACCAACTGAAAGATTACAATTCGATTTGTTCCTAATATCAATTTTTACCTTATCTTCTTTGCCCTATCTGCTCATCCATCTGCGTCCCCATTAGTCGCAATCATCTCATCATCAGATAAGCCGATTGTATGTATGCGCATTCCAATGCGAGATGCATTTATTTCACACCGAATCCTCCCACATTCATCAGTTAGGTTTTCTAGCTCTCTCAATAAGTTTCCAAGTCTCAACTTTTCCAAAACAAATCAATCGTCACCATGCAGGTCTTCGCCATCGTCCTGCTCCTCGTCACCGGCAGCTTGGCCAACTCCATCACGCAAACGAGAGAAACCGGCCCACCATGTAGTAAGTACATGATAAAAATTTTAAAAATTTTAAATTTTCCAATGTTTAAAAATTTCTGAATTTTTGCAACTCCCTACATAATTCCACAGCCCTTCCCCCCGTCTACATCGGCACCGAGGGCCCCTTGAACATAACCTACCACCCAATCCTCGAAATCCATCAGGGCGGAACCACCGGGTAACGGGAGACTCTTTCTTCATAAATTTCTTAAAACGTTTCATTTTGTTTTCCAACGTTTTTCACAGAGTCTCCACCATTATTGGTCTGGACACCTTCGCTTACGAATACACCATCACCGTGATCGCCCTCACGGTCGAGTTCACCATCACGGTTGACAAGCTCAGCCTTGACACGACCTACACCGCGACCGGGTATCTTGACGCGAGGCCCTTCTCCCAGGGATGCATCCCATCCGGAAACTTTACCAGTGGCGGGTACGGCCCCGCTCCAGCCACGGCGAACATCGGCAGACTCAAGGTTTTCGGATCTCTCACCCTTAACATCAATCTGATAGAAGATTACGTCAGAATCGGTCGCTTGGCCCTGTCTTTTGTCTCCTTCGATACAGTCAGGGTCGACCTTGGCCGGAAATTCCGAATAGGTGGGGCCCCCGTTGACTGGCCCGCATTCAGTGCTAACCTTAAGGCTTGCTTTGACTCCGAATTTGCCGCCAACAAGGCCGCCGTCGTGGAGAAGGTTAGGCTCGCGATTAACTAGAAGTTGTCAAAATATAGGGTGGAAGATTTCTTGGACTATATGCCAGGGGAACCGGAACCCACTTGCCCACCAGGCACCTATTAAATTCCTCGGCGTTGGGAATGACAATAATTTCTGGGGATATGCAAGTGTTTCATGAGGAGTGATATTCTTCTCAGGGTTCGGAAAAACCCAGGGTTTTAATCAAAAAGTAACGACCCAGGGGTTTTAATGGGTTTTAATGGGTTTTTTGGGTTTTAATGGGTTTTATGGGTTTTATTGGGTTTTATTAGGTTTTACATAAGTAATACATTGAACAACAATTTTCACTACTACTGCAATCCAATTTCAATTAATATGCAAATCCTACTTGTCCATGTTAGAATTTGTATCCGTTTCGAAATAGTCTTGTTTAACTGATCATAGTTTAATACTTTATGAGAATATATATTACCTTTTTCTCGAATACTTCCTCTCATCATAATGAAATCCAAGTTGTTTAAAAGTTTTTAAAATTTAATATTTCAATTCGATCTTAACGTGTATTATCAATTCTGGAAAAAATCGAGTACTTATGAACAATGAAAGCACAACGCACGTATGTATTACGATCGAGAATATAATAAGTGCTTTTTACAGATATACTATTTTGCTCATAATAAAGTACTTCGTTGTCCATAAGAACTCGATTTTTCAAGAGGTGATATTATATCACCGTGATAATTAAGATCGGTTTGAAACATTTTAAAAAACTAAATTAAAAAACACTATAGTATTTTGTTTAATTTATTCGCTGAGATGAGAGGAAGTATTCGGGAAAAAAAGTATTAATTATGATCGCAAAATGTATTAAATTATGTATGATCAGTTAAACATACCTCGTTCCCAAATTATTTTTGTGTATTTTTTGTCACTTGAAACTTGTAATGGTAAGGGATGTCCCTGATTTATTCCTGGTTTTCAAAACTTACAGTATTAATCAAATAAACTACTTAGCTGCCATCAAACAACTTCGACTAATGTATGACAGCTGTTTTCAGCTTTTAGAATATAGTTTTAAGCTAAAACGCAGTTAAAACCCATTAAAACCCTAATAAAACCCATTAAAACCCAAATAAAACCCATTTAACATGGTAAAACCCGTTGGGTTTTATTCATTAACAACCCATTAAAACCCAAATAAAACCCATTTAACATGGTAAAACCCGTTGGGTTTTATTCATTAACAACCCATTAAAACCCAAAAAACCCAACCCAATAAAACCCTGGGTCGGAATACCCTGATTCTTCTTGAATTGGTGAATTCTTTTGAAAAATAAAAAAATCAATCTGTCTTAAGTATGCATATTTGCATATGTGGAAGGGTGTTAGGTGTTACATAGGCATATTTTAGTAATTTTAGTCGAGAATCCCTCTACCTAAAGATGTATGTAACTGTGTGGACACAACAAACAAATTGTGGTTGCCCAACTTCAATGCGATGCACATACATATTGTGTATGTATACTCTCAATAATTTTTTGACGATATTGTTACCGGCGGAGGTACTATGCAACTCTACCGCTCGGGTAGTAATTTATCATCGAAGGGTAGCATACATACAGAGGCTAAATCCTGCTCAGCCCCCAATGTCAACGCTCAGGTAATAAAAATATTACCGATACCGGAGGCAATTTCTTACCCTCAGAAGACAATTTGTTACTATAGTGTTACCACGCGGTAGCGTTGTATAGTGTCTCCGCCGGTAACAATTTTGTCAAAAAATGATTGAGAGTGATACTTACATAGATATTAGATGTGAGTCGGGCCTAAGATTTCAAAAACCCGACCGGTCCAAGCCCTTTTCAAAGTACCGTAAAAACACAATAGTAGCTTTGGACTACTAACTTACAAAATCGATGAGACCCGGTTATTATTTGAGCAAGGGGTACTATTTGAATTTTTACAGTAAATACATATGCACATACAATCCTCTTACCGGCATTTAAATATTTATGCAATGAGTTTTGCATGCAAATGAGTTCATGATACATATTTCATACTTATGCGAAACGTGTATATCTGTACATATATAAATATATAATTTATTAAGTTTTATTGCACCTACATACATATAAATATATAATAAATATAAATGCATGCCTAAATATGTCAACAATATTTATTTGTGTGTGGTGTTGACAAAGTTTAACATACCTAATTTTGCTTACAGCTTTGAAAAGTTATATATGAACATACATACTTTGATACTTATAGCACAATATTTATTATACACATTATCTATAAAATTACAAAGAGCTCTGAAACACTGACTGATTCATTGCTCGGTTGACTAATCCCTTCAATTACTTCTTAACTATTTGCAAGTCACACACCCTTAGAATAAAATTTCAGCTAATGACAGAATTATTTTTAGGATTTTTAAAAACGTTGTAACAAGTAGTGCACGAACAGGGAAAGTGATCGTGGTCATGTAGATTATTTTCTAAGTTTTACAAATAAATATATTACTCCTACATCGGATTACATATGTGTGTACAGAACTGTCAGAAAATCTCAGATATGAGTATATGTATGTACATGTAAATATCTCGTGTTGATGATTTTGTGTTATTGCCTTTTTATGGCTTGGTACAATTGCCTAATAGTTATTTGGGTTCCGAGCGTCGTCGTTTCCGATTGCTTTGCTGGACACGCTGACAGTGGTCCATGTGCTTCTTTGTAAACCAGTTCTGAAAATGGGATAAAAAATTAGATTAATCAAATAAGAACAAATTTATGTAAATAATTTTTCTATAATCCATCAGAATCACTTATCGCTACCACGGCATATGTAACTCCAAACTCTTCCGCCTTGTTGGAGATAATTTTTGTGTCCGGGTAGCTATTTAACTGCTGGTATATAATGTTAAGTTTCGAAATTTGGGAAGTCTTCAGTTGTCCAGTGGTGCGGTTATCTAAGTAAAATTAGAGTATGAGTTATTAAATAAGGCAATTTATCCAGCTTAAGTTATGTAAGTGTACGATCCCACGAAAATGATTTTAAATTTGTTTATTATAGTTCGTACCTTGTGGACTTGGCGGGGGTGTTGAGAACATTTCATCATCCGAGATCTGACCCGTCCTCCTGCGCTGGCGTGGAACACTTGGTTCCATGGTGGACCTTCTTTTCGCAGTAATTAGTGCCGCTTTAATTTTGTCACTTAACTCTTGTTCGGAATGCTTAGGATTAGCTATCTTTGACCGCTTTGGTTGAGGTGGGATCGGGCTGGGGGATTTCCGCCGGAAATTGTTGGTTGGTTGGGGTGAAGAGGGCGGGTCTGGTTGCCTTGGCGGGATACGATTTAGGGCGGGATTTACCATCCTGGAATTTGTCCGATTGGTTACTTTGGCGGGGTCTGTATTTTTAATCGATGGTGGTATCTGGTTGGAAATTTTGCCTGTTTTGGATGCCTGGCCCGGTTTACAATTCGCATTTGGCGGGGACGTTTGCCGCATGCTCGTGTGATTTTGGGGTGGATTCCTCCCTTCTTGGGCCGAGCTCGTTTGACGTCCATTGCTGTTATGTGGTTTTGGTATCGGGGCAGGGTGAGCAACTTCCTGATTGGCGGTCAAATCAGCCTCCACGGGGATCAGGTGAATCCACCCGATGTGGCGGTACAGCCCTTCGAAACTCTGTGCTGCCGAACAGAAGGGACACGACAGCATTTCCGTGTCCCCTTCGAGGGCGTGGTACAATTTTAGGTGGTCTTTGAAGGCATTCCCTTGGCGGGAAATCGTAACAAAACAGACAGGACAGTGTCTCAAGTTATGCTCTTTCCTCTGGTGATCCACTCCATGGCGGCGGGAGCGAAAACTCTTTTCGCACTGGTGACACGTTTGAATTAAACTGATGAGTTGGGTCGCATTTTGGAAGAGGGGTTCGTCTGGCGGGGCGATGGTGGTGCAGCGATGAGAGGTTGGTGGAGGTGATTGGGGAGAAAGAGAGACCGGCAGATTACGAGTTGGATGACGGGATTGGTGAGAAGATGTGGTTTTAAAATTTCGCTCTGTGGAGGGGGTAATGATGGCGGGAAGTCCTGAACACTTAGGGACAACGACAGGAGGCCTTGAGCACTGAGGAGCAACGGCGGGAGGCCTTGAACACTGAGGAGCAACGGCGGGAGGCCTTGAACACTGAGGAGCAACGGCGGGAAGCCTTGAACACTGAGGAACAACGGCGGGAGGATTTGAGCTTTTCGATAAACCGGCGGGAAAAGTGTTGGAAGTTTGAGGTGAGACACCAGTGGCGGGCCTGCTTGAACCTGCAGATATACGCCAAATTCATGTTTTTAAATATGCTTATTTCAGAAACTTTTAATTCTGTGAATACTATTTAGTTATCTCCAGTAAATTACCTGCAGTTACATCAATATTTGGCCTTCTGATAAACTCCCCATTTAGTAAACTTTCTCCAGTTTGCGTCTCCAATGAGATTTTAGGCGGCGGCGGGGCAGGCGGCATTTTGCGCTTGGCGGGAGTTACAACTCCGCTTTCTGTGTGTATCCAAATTGATCCACCGTCCTGTCCAAATCTGACCATGAGTGGGAGATTGACCTCAAGTTGGAAGTTGACTTCCGGTGACGTATTGGGGGGCACAAAATTTGGGGGTGAATGTGGACCAACGGCGGGTATTGGGCTCATCGGAGGGCTAAGAGGAAGGTAGGCTGTCGTAGTGGCGGTGGAGGAATGGATCGATCCCGCCATTCTATTCCCGGGATTCATTTCTGGAGGATAGGCTGTAATTAGTGGAGAAATTATTTTTAGCGACACTACGAAAGTTAATAAAAAAGCGTTAGTAAATAAGTATTTACATTTATTTTATGGCACAGATTCAGAAATTTACACTGTCAACTTGATCAATAAACGTTCGCCGTATTTTTGCAAAACTTTTTGTGAGAAAGCGGTGAATTCATTGTTTGGAAATTTATCTAGGAGAGAGGCATATTTTCACACTCAAGGAGTTCAAATTTTGCAATCTCGAATAGAGATTCTCGATTTGGAACGAGAAAATATCACTTTGACGTGAGCACGCCCATTAAAGTTTAACTATTCCTAAGAGCGTAGTATGTATCAAAGTTGGAGGTACGATAGGGTGTAAAGCAAGCCCAAACACTTTCCCAGGATGTAAAAAAAATTATAAAAGGAACTCGACAATTCTACGAAACTTTCAAAATTTCCGAAAAGATGTGCCAAAATTTACTAGAAAAATCTCTAAAATTCTCAGAAACTTTCAAAATTTCTAAAAAAATTTTCAGAAGCTTCCTTTAGAAAAATGCTCATAATTTTCCGGAAAATTTTTTTCTTTTAAAACTGCTCCTAAATTTCCGGAAAATTTTTTTCTTTAACATGTTCCAAAATTTCTATTTCGTTTAAAAATGCTCTTAAATTTCCGGAAAAGTTTCTAAATTGTTTTTTAAAAATCTTGTTAAATTTCAGGAAAATTTCAACATTTCCGGGAAATTTTCAAAAATTTATTTTTAAAATGTTCGAGAATTCCAGGAAACTTTCAAAATTTCCAAACCTATGGAAAAATGCTCCAAAATTCTCTAAAATTTTTTGTAAATTTCCTTTAAAAAATATTCCAAAATTGAAACAAACTTTCTAAATTTACTACAAATTCTCTATTTGTATTTTATTTTCAATTTCCTTTACAATGCTAACTTTATGGAGACCATGAAAATTTCCGAAAAATGTTCTAAACTTTTAAACTATTTCCAACGGGTCTGAGGTGTATTATGACGGTATGACTTATAATGCAGTTCATGAAAATTTTTTTCTAAATTTTTACAAAGTTTAAAAATTTAATTATGTTCAACCTACTTTTCTTCAACTCTGGAGGAGGTGTCCTTCCATCCAAAATTTCTGAACCTGCAATCACAAAAAAAAATTGTTAAATAATTATTCACCACAAAACTACACGCGCCTTACCCTAAGGGACGGCAGGGTCAAGACGGCCCTGCGGTTCCCTGCCCCGTCGACTGATTCGGTAAAATTCATTAGCAGCGGAATAAAATTATAGTATCGGTTTAAAAAAAATATGCATTTACCAGTTAAATTTCCGAAAATTCCCTGTTCCTTTTTCAGTACAATTTCCGAAGTTTCCTGTTGTTTTTTGCTGTACTAGTTCCCACAGTTTCCTGTTCCTTCTTCTTTACGAAGAAGGCATACATTCATAAAAAATCTTGACTTTTAGACTGAGGTGTGGTATTGACGAGCAGCAAACGACATTTGAGCTCCCCTTTTCCGGCTGCAGCTCCTTTTATACCAACGTTTTCCTGCAGCAAGAGAACGTGCATATACGACGTCATCAAATAGGAAGGTGACTGATTTTGTGTCGCCTATCTTACTCGTGTTAAGCTAAACATTACTAGATCGGGAAGGGGTGGCATAAAAATCCGCGTTTTTTGCTGACATAATATATGCACGTTTTCCCAATGAGATTTCATGTGCAACGTTCCTGCCTCAACAGGATGAGATATCATGTGCAACTTTCTTCCGTTACGTAAGGGGCCGTACATCTAGAGTGTGACCGATTTTTTGAAAATTTTGAAATCTAACCACCTTGTGTAACCTGAATATGTGTCCATGTGATAATTAACAGGGGAAGAGTAGGATCACTTGAGACCTCAAATCGATCACATGCTTTTTGCACAGGCCTTTCATACCATAAAATTCCTACCCTAACAATATGTGAATTCATGTGCAACTGGGCCCAAATGAGATGAGATTTCATGTGCAACTTTATTCGGATGAAAAGCAAGCAAGTGGATATGTACAATACAATAATGCGACAACACTAATAGGAGCAAAGATGTTGAGCAACGTTTTACCTAAGTTATGCAATTAGCAGACTATGGAAACGCTGGATTTGTTTTGTGTTTCTTTGTATGTATGTACATATGTTTGGATATTATGCGGTTGGGTTACACATTTTGAGGTATCATGCTTACTCGTGCGGTGCGAGTAACAACGTTTACACAGTGACGTTTAAGAAGATGTAGAAAAGTGGTTCACTTATGTATGTATGTGTGTGAATAAAACGTTGTTCCGAATGCATTGGGCCTACTCACGTCAGCTATCGCGTACATTACGAATTTAGCAGGTTATAATAACAACCACCAAACTTCTCTAGTTTTGGAATATCTTGCAAATTTACAAGTTTTGAAATTGTGTAAAACATTGGCTGGACAAAAATTGGATGTTTCTCACAAATTTACAGAGGGAACTGGAAATATGTTTATTTTAAAAAAACTCATCATTTTTACTAAATGCTTCAGAAATTGGAAAAATAATTTAAGAAATAACAAAACTGTTTGTACAGATTTGAGATGTTTGAAAAATCATAAATATTTTCCGAATATACACACAAATTGCTTAGACTTCGTTGTATGAATCGTTGTATGTTCAACTAAGCCCACAATTTACATGTTTGGGTAGGTTAGGTTAGTCGATTCACTTACCTGAATTGTGAGCACAATATTTGTGAAATATTCAACTCCGTTTATCTTCAAGATTTATTTAGTGTGCAGTTTTATTCAACTATTTTCAACGATATATGTATTTATACAAGTTTGTCAAGACTCGAGATAGAGAGGATGGCACAAAATATGTAGCAGAGATTCAGGGTTTTACCGTGGGGAAAATAGGGTGGGGAAAATGGGTGGGTAAAATGGGTTTTAGCCACCCACCAAAAAGCCTCATTAGTGGGGAAAATGGAAAAAATGGGGAAAATACTTTTTGGGGCGAAATGATTCACTTTTTCGCTCCCAACTTGAAAGATAAATTGATTCATGCACATTAAATAACACGAGACTCCTGTAAGATTATAAAAATATAATTGCTGACTCTCTATCTGATACAAAATATTTCTCTTCTGTGTGTAAGTGTTGGACGTTAACATTAATCGGGAAACATGTTAAACCATTTGGTAATTTCCTATATAAATAATAATGGACAAATTTCTTGATTGTGATTTATTTCCATGTGATTCATTTTTTAGGAGACAATAAAAAATCTACTGCGTGGAGTCGATCAGCACAGCAGACTTGGGATGTTGAAAGGGATAATTGACGACTGCTGTAATTTGGACGACTTGAAACCACTTCATGGTTGCATTAAAGAAACTAAATGGACGTAAAAAACACATCATTCGCGCAGCAACCGTTAGCATTGTAGATTTTGACGGAAAGGAAATCTTTTCGGCAAGCAATTTAATCATATTTTCCATTGCAAAATCACAATTAATTAATAATTACTCGGTTTTCTAGGAGATGATTTTCCATGAAAAGGGATCCTTTCTGGTAAGCAAGGAGATAATCTCCGTGAACGGATTCCGCGAAGATTCGCTGATTGGAGGAATTGATATGGACAAAGTTAGAGATAAAATTATTTCGATTTTGGATGGAAAATTGGTGGTGACCTGTAACGGTGCAGCAGATTTCAACAGTCTGGACATCAGAGGAGGGGACGTCGATTCGTTAAAATACTTTTCAAAAATGGAACGGAACTTTCAACAAAATTGGTCGAAAAAATTATCAACCTTTGTCGCTAAAGAAAATCTATCGTCACTATTTTAATTCCGAGATTCAGAAAAGCGGACAAATTCACACCGCCCTGGAAGATGCCAAAGCGACGATGCAAATTTTTAAGGAGATTTACATTCCATGGGCTGAAAATAGTTCTCCGAATATGAGACATTACGAAGCTTGTTGAGAATTCGACAATGTTCAATAAATTATAAATATCACACTTGACATTTTAATGATTATTATTCATTTTGCAAATAAACATCACAAACATCAAATAAACATAAACAAATAAACATCACATCTGGATTTTCAACCATATGAAATGTCGAGTTGGTGGCGTAAAGAAATTTTCCTAAGTGTAATGTTATTTCTTCCGATTTATTTTTTGCCAGGCTTGCTACGAAACTTTAGATTTTTGGGTGCTTCAGAAAGGTTGTAGAAGACGATGGCGAACAATTTGCTGCAGCTGACTCTGTTGCACTGTGGAGTGACATTGGTACAGCTCTCTTCATTTCTTTCTTCGAGCATTTTTCATAATGTTTCTTCATTCGCTCTACTTTAGCGCTTACTTCTTCCTTGCAAATTTTGCACTTGTTGCTTATAATTTTTCCGTTGACTTGCTTTGTTTCGAAACAGTCCCACACTAAAGACTTATTTCTGCCTACTTTCTGAGATGGACTGGATATGTCGATGAATGTTATTTCAAGATTATGTTGCATGGGAGATGACACCACTGGAGCTGAGTTTGTATCAGTGCTGGGTTGCTCGTTAAATTGATCTGAAAACAATTAATGTGCACTAATGTCAGGTTATGGTCGCTAACCTGTACTAGAGTCACTTTTAAAGTATTTAAAGTAATGTTTCACCATCTCGTGACACGAAGGAATCCGTGTCCATATTGCTGTCTTCGAAATCGTTTGCATTTCCTTCTTCATGGGCCAGATTATCTTGGATAGTTGACCCATATTTAAGTTCACGATCATAATCAGATTCTGTGGTTTTGTCGCTATCACTGTCAAGATCTAATGAGAAAAACAAATTGCTATCGACCATCAGAGAATAAAATCAATGTAAATTGTTAGGATATTTATTTACCCAGAATTTCTTGAATCTGTGAGTCAGTAAGCACATTCTTTTTTCTCGACATGTTGCAGGTTAAACTTCAGAATGTGCAATGCAACGAAAGGAAGGATGGTTACTAAATTGACAATTAATTAACTTACCGGCAAAACAAAAAATCGAGTGGTTTATTTAATAAACAGTAAGATCAGAACAAAACAGGGAAAATAAACCTCCCGCAATGGTGGTGGTGGCCCACCACCTCACTATAACCCTTCATACCCATTTTCCCCACTACCCACCCATTTCCCCCATTTTTTCCATTTTACCCACCGGGCTGGGGATTAAGCTCAAAAGGTGGGCAAAGTAAAACCCTGCAGAGATTATTCCAAGATAAGACTGAGTTAGCTGTGGCACAAGTTACCTTTATATACTAATTTTATTTATTACTTAAAGTTAATTGCTTGCAACAAGTAATTAAATTTTATGGCTTAAAAAGTCGAGGTTAAAAGATGTCATTACTTTTAATCACTTCTTTTTACTGCAAGATTTTAAGTCATAAACAAACTGGTTATGAATGATCACAATAAACTTCACTACATAAGTACATATGTAAATACATGTGAATGATTCACACGAAATGACACATGTATGTACATATGCAGATATTGTTTGTTACAACGCTTAATTAATGTTAGCAATGGTATCATATTTGGATTAGTTTATGTAAGTCTTCATATTCATAAATAAGCACCTTACCCCTCCGGTGAATTTATGTATGTAATGAATGATTATGCTTCATGGGGATATTATGAGAATTAAAAAATATATTTATATGCACATTACTGCCGGAACTATCCGTTGTCATGCATCTGATCTGATCAGAGCTTATCAGATTTTATAAAATTATTCAGAAGAGATGAGACTGCATAAACTTATAATTAAGTATTTATTGAACATTTAGATAATAGTAATCATGATAATTAAAAGATGATACATTTGAGTGTACAAAACAAATTTGTAAGAACATTTAGGTTCGAATTTTACTGCTTTGAAAGATAGCAGATTAATTTTAATAATCAAAATTAATCAACCAGGTCACTTTTACTCGAATGACAGATAGGTTCCACAGCTTTTCGCAATGAATTAAATAAAATTCATTATAAATGAAATTGTAGGTACAAGGACTAATGTACCAAAGCATTTTTTTAATTATGTGCAACCACACCCCCCACAAAAATAAAGGAAGAAAGTTTGGAAAAATGAGAAAGTCAATGTAGATCTTGTAGAACAAGAGTAAGACCTATATATACTTGCATTTGTAATTTGACTTCCCCCTGGAATACGAACATTTTGATGCATCTAATGTTTCAAAATTCGAAAATTGGCGTTTTTTTTACGTACACAAAAGTCGTCAAAAAACTCATTGCCCCAGCCAATTACTTCTGGCAACCTGATGCCAGATTTTTCCTCTTGAGATGAGCTACATTTTCAGCTTTTGTTGTCCGAAGGGAAACATAATATTTACATATGTATGTAAGCATTTGCGTAAGCTTAGATAGATAAGAAGGGTGGTAATTGGATGTGCATATCAGCCTCGCTACTAAAACAATACGTGACACATTATTTATGTGGTCAACATTTTCCTGGTGGAATGTGGATGTGGAGTTGTATTTAGTAATAAATGTATACATATACATATCTACATTTATTACTAACTACATATATACTACTAACTATTTATTACTGAATACATACTGTAACAGTAAATTACTTATTAATGCACATGTGAGTATTCACATACGTACATACATGCACACAAACATGTAATGTATGTGTGTGTCTATGTATATACCTATGAGAATAGTAATCAATATTAGTAGAAAAATCCGATTTCCGTGGAATTAAGTTATACCGATATTATGTATGTGTAAATTAGTTGCACTGCGTTTTACTGAAATATGTTATTGACTATCGCAGTTTTACACGTTCAGTTTGTGGAATTTCGTGTGTTTGTGAAATCGTGTAACAAGACTCGCAATAAATATTTATATTCATGTCTTTATATATGCACTTACCTATATACTTATTTGTTCATGCGTGTACTCGACTCATGCTGCTATAGACGCATTTACATATTTAGATACGCACATAAGTAAATATGTGTATGTGGTTAATGAATTATGCGTCACTAAATTAATGAAACCCTTTTCCATTCAATTTTCCGCATAGTTCATGGAATCGAACTTTGAGGATTAAGCAAATTCACTTTTATAATCATGTAATGAACATCCGCTACTAAAACTGTCTTCATTTAGGTATAACGCCACTCATAATTAATTGTACATACATACTGTTCAGTTAATCGTTGACCACTCTGCGAACAGGCAACATCATGGAGCGTCCTAGTAATAACACCGACGAGCAAACTGCTCTTCAATCCCCGACGGAATACAAATATTCGGACAAACAAAAATACCTTGCAGGTTTTGCGGGAACTTTTTTAGTAAGTTTTAATCTGTCGTGATTGATAAATAAGAAAAAAATTGGATTTTTACGACGTTCGTTTCCACACTGTTGTTAATTGTGGGGCAGAAAACGGAGGAAATTTGGTGTGGTCGTGAAAAATGCCACGACAAGGTCTCATTGCGTGACACTAATTGTCGATCATCCTAAACAAGAAAAGTTTATGAGGCAATTTTCCAAAATATTTGAAACTCGGTAATGTGTGCAAACTCTTGAATTTTATGTACCAAAATGATCATTACCAAAATCTGCGAACCCTTGTAAGTGTTTTGCAAACTTTTGCAATGCTTTGTTGCAATGCGTGATATGTCTCAACCATTATGTAAATTCATATATTTATGTACATATATATTTACATATATTTATATTTAAATTGCATACGAAAACCACTCAACCAAAATTGTGCTGTTTTTTTTAAATTTTAATTCTAGTTAATCGACATAGCAACGGTTATCACACTCGTGTACTTATTCCTTCCATGCGGTGATTGTATGTATCTCTACATTTATTAAATTTTTATCACCTTTTTAACTGTAAAAAGTGTACGAATTATAATTTTTCAAAATGTTATCTTATCTTAAGACTGTTCTGAACTATCTGGATTTTTCTGGGGGATTCTTACGTTCGTTTTACTTGACATAATCGCAAATTCACTCGTCATCTATGCAACTTTCCGAGTAAGCGTTTCTCAACAGCTTTATACTTCATGATTTCACGATAACTACATATCTTGGAATCAGTGTTTCTGCTAAATAACACCTGCACGAAAATAGTGCATGAAAATGTTTTTAAACGTTTAATAACACCCAATAGAAATCTGAAAAAGTGCATGAAAATGCACGAAAATGCACTAAAATAATTTACATGCCAATAATATTGGAATGATGCAATTTTTCCAAATATTCGATTAACTGAGGATTCGACGTGTATTTAAGATATTTTCCTCATTATTTTAGTATTTTACTGTAAAAATATTTTTCATTTTTCAATCCGAAAAATGAATTAAAGTTTTGAAAATGAAAATGAATGAACATGACGATTTTTATGTACGGTTGAATACGGGCTTGCAAACAAATACTTGTAATTTGTTTGAAATTTTCTTGCCGAATAATAATTTTATGTTATTCGATATGTGTACAAATTCCAATTTGACAGAGTAGGAAAATATAAAATTTCCTTAAAATATGAAATTCCTTGCATAAATTGCATTTCATGTATTATTATGCATTTTCATGCATTTTTTGCATTTTCGTGCATTTTTATGCATTTTTATGCACCGTGCATGCATAAAAATAATTTCGTGCGCACAAAAAGAAACACTGCCTGTAATGCTAAATTCATTACGAGATGATAAAATTATCGTGTTATCAAATCATAACAGCTAATAATCTGTAATTTTGCAAAATTATAAATATATTAATTTTTAGGCGCACCCAAAAATAATTGGTGTCTGGTTGGTCTACCGATGCATTGGAATTGCGCTTTGCGTCGTTGTACTCGTTTACACCGTCGTCGAAGGGAGTTGGACGCTTCAGTTGGTTTTCTACTCAAGCGTCTCTATTCTCTTGAGCATCTTTTCCATCTGGATCGGAAAGACGCTCAAGAAAGACATGGAGCTTAGTCCGGACAGTTATCGGAGAGGGTTTGCCGTATAATTTTCATTTTTTATGCAAAAAATTTGCGTAATAAAACTAAATATTTATATGCAAGTACAGTGAAATTATTTGTGCATGCTAACTCATTTACATATTAATTTTGACGCAGGTACTACATAAATTTTGCACATTTTCGTCAACTATCGCATATTTCACATATTTAACATGATAAGGAATTTGAAGAAAGATTCCGCAAAAATTTTGCAAACAATCCGATCTTTTTACAAAGCAAATGGGGTAAATGTGTCCCTATTTCGAAAACTCATCCTCTCCGTCAAGAGCGATTGAAGTTCCAGATAATTCAAATGAAAGTAGGATAAAACAACCATATTTTAAATTATTTTCACATTCAAAATTTGTTAAATGAGTAATGACGCTAAATACGTATGGCATCATCGTGAGTACGCAATACGCATATGTACGCATCTATCCGATTGATGAATGCAATGCATGATTATGTTAAGTAATGCTAAAATTTTGCAACAAATGGTTCTACGTACTGTCGGATTATCTCATGCTTATCAGATTTACAAAATTCATCGGATTACGGAAGTGTTGAGACTGAATAAACTTGTATTTATTGAATACCTAGTAATAATTATAACATTAGTTAATCGACATAACTATGTAAATATAAATATTTAGTTATGAGGTAAACATTTTGCTGTAAAGACTTTTAAATATAAATAGGTTTGCATTTTACTATTTTACAAAAGTTTGTAGAAAACAATGTCAACGTAATTTGGTATGTCACTTTCACTCGATATCTTCATTACTTCGATTCAATCCATCCTGTTTTCCATCATGTGTGTTTAAATGATGTTGCAGGTGCACCTTTTTCTTGAACTTCTTATCACAGAGGTGGCAAGCGTGCTCGCTTACCTGATTGTGTATCGAGGCTAGATGACTCTTTAAACATGCCTCATTTTTCAGCAATTTTGAGCACAGGCTGCACGATAATTTGCCTCCGTCGTAATTATGTGCCATTTCCTTGTGCCTGGCGTATGACCGTTGCCATGGAAACGATTTCCCACACAGCTCACAGACATATCTTTCATTCGAATGGAAAGCTTTGAAGTGCGTTCTCAGATAGTTTTTCCCTGAAAAGGTCGCATCACATCCGGCCAAAGTACAGGCTATTCTTTTACCTTGGGTCGCAGAATGGGTGGCCATGATATGATGACGTCTGCTTGGTTTGGTGGAGAAGATTTCGTCACAAATGTGGCAGGCGTATTTGTCCGTAGGTTGACTAGTTTTCTTGGGTCTTTTATGGTTGTACATGTGATCCTTAAACTTTTGGATGGATGTGAAAGTCTTGTGACAAATGTGACATTCTGATGATGGTTCTGGGGGATTGGTGGGTTTAGGGGCCAGATAAGTTGGAAGGCTGTTTTGCGATTTGACTTGTGTACCGCGAAAAGGGCAGTATATTACTTTTCCTTGGATTCGTACGAAGTTTGACGGGGCAACGGGCAATCTTGCATCAGTTTTTGAGCGGTTTTTGCAGGTAGGCTTGTCGTCATCAGGTTTAAAATTATCTAAATGTACGAAATGATTATTATAATGGGATGAGCCTTTTGATATTAAGAAAGAGGAAATTCATGTAGTCATTGGTAACTTGGTAAAATTCGGAAAGTTTTGTAAAATAATTTCACAAACTAAACAAATTAAAAGGAGCTGAGTAAGTTTACAAAAATTTGAAGGCTGATTTTCTTTCGGAATATTAGTAAAATTTCGTAAAAGTTTGTAAATAGGTTTACAGAATTTGTGGATTTTACAATGTTACCAAGAACTACTAATTATTAATACTAACTAAATTTCTTGTCCTCGTCTTCTTGTACGTTAGTTGCTGGTTTTCTTTTGTGATTATATTCACGTTTTCGAAGCGATGCTTCAGCTTGTTCGTCCATGAGAATTGTACCCCCGATTCCCTGAGAAACAAAATTAGCATATTTTTAACAATTGCCGTACTCACATCAACCTTTCCATGTCACAAATTCAGCATAGCAAAATAACTTGAAATTTGCAAGGTTTCACAAACTTTTCCTGGAAAGCGATAGGAAATTTTGGAAAACTTTTTTGAAAACTTTGCGTTTTTAGTATCACAACTAAATAATCGTGATAATTAACACATTGTCGTATGTAAATACGCTCAAAACATGTTAAAAAAGTTAACTTATGTATGTACATCATTGTCGTCTTCGGAATCATCGCTGGTGTGTAATTTTGTGGGCGATTTGCGCCCGGGAGATCTTTTTCGTGTCGCCACGGTTTTCATTTCTGTCGTTTCTAAGTTATCGGAAAAGGCTGCGTCATCTAAAGATTTTAAATTTTTTGATTTATTTATTTATCTCACATAATTTATTAATTTACTGGAATGAATTTATTTAAAACGAACCATCGTTAGGTTCCTCTTTACACTCAATATCTGCAAGAGGATCAGCAAATTCTCCTTCGCCATTATCTCTGTCATATAGATTTTCTGGTATTATGATTAATCCTTCCTCCACAAAGGTGAGATCGTCGACGTCAGTCTCGAGCTTTACGGTGACCTCGTCCTCCGGGTGATTTCTCGAATTCCAGAAGAATTGAATTCTCTCCCCAATTTCCTCCAGGAGTTGACAAGTCGTCGGAAATGCAGCGTTTAGCAAGGATTCTAAAGCGGCCTCAAGTTTAATTTTGTTTTCTACATATATTCAAAAGAAAAGATTTATCAGTATTTAATTAAATTTTAATTGAGGTTTTGCTTGGTTCTAAAGATGTACAATCATAAATTTGTAAATTAAATAGGCTTCATGATCAACACTTTAATTGTAATTGAGTTTCAAGAATAAAAATTAAATGTTAATCTAGAAAAAAATTACCATTATTATCCATATCCACTGAATCATTTTCCAAGTCGGATTTAACGGTCTCAAGAATCTTTGATGTAACGTCAATATCATGATTTAAGGCAGAAATTTGACTAAGAACTGTGGTGGCCATAGCTGACATTAAATTTAGTCAAAATTTTGACCGAATTAATTTTTAATTCCACTATTATTAACCGGGAGAAGAAAAAGTTGAGCGGCTACATTATTACATGGAATCGGCTGGGAATCATATGTTACTGCATAGCATGCAAGTTTTTTAGGGTACGCTCAAATATTACGTTAATTAAAAGAAATGATTTTTGGACACTTGATGTTAGTAATCTTCATTATCGTCTTGACCCTCCTCAACCCCTCCCCAAAGTTGACGTAAGCTGAGAGATAAATTTTATCATCGACAAAGGTAATAACGTGAATCTTTTACCTTAATAAAATAATTAAGAAATACGTAAAATTTCAATATCTAATTGTTGCAAATTAATTAACTAATGTGCAAAATTTGAATCTGGACCTATTTAAATTATGACGAAAATTATACCTAAAGTGGGGTATAATTTTTAAATTCCGGCAAAACTTATAAATTTTAATTCCATTTTTTACCCCATGAAAAAAGTTATGTCAACTTGTGTAACCCACAATCGTGGTCAATAATCGTGAAAATCTTCTCGACTCGCTCCGCCCAACAATTTATTTACGCAATATATGAATGGACCCTAGTACATAGTAAGCCGAGCAGATGGGTTCGTTGTGTTTTATGTGCAGAAACCTGTACTTACGAGTACATGTCCCTCTCTTCTTTTCTCATCCTATGTACACGCGTCATGAATTGATGTTTCAATTTGCATACTACTTTTGTAGTAAGTTACTATATACACAAGTAATGCGATTACTACTAGTAAGTAATTGCAATGTAGTTAAAGTTAAAACCACGTATTCTGTTTCTATGTATGTACACATAATAACAAGTTATACGTTTCATCAAATGTACATACCTACATACGCAATACTGCCGCATATTTTGTTTGTATGCATAAGAAATATCATACATATGCGCGTACATTACAGATTTTGCACATGGTATCACATTCGCGAAACCACAACTTCCTACTTGTCTCGTACAAGACGGCCATTTACATATGATCAAAACGTTTGTGGACTAATCTTAAATGAACTTGTACATATGCACATATGTATAAAGGAAGCAGTGAGTATGAATAAAATTAACACAATAAAAATGTGTCGATCAGTGAATTTGCAACCTCTATCCTCTTTGCAACGAATTTGAATTCGAACCACTGTCTAGTAGATCGTACAAAGTGACTTTTAGTGAGTTTTATAATCGCCAAGTGTCCCCCCTTGAGCGTCCTGCCACAAACCACGCCGCCATCTCCGCCCATTCCAAACGCCCCACCCCCGCAGCCAACAAGCCCCCAATATTTGTCGGCCCTTCCGCAACCTTTACTAGATAAAACACTCCTACCATGGCCGACACATACTGGAATACCTTCGAGGCAATCAAATCACGAGTAGATTTCTACATCGAGATTCTTGCGAATCATGCCAATGGCACCAATTTGTTAACCCAGATATCCTCCCAATGTCACCTGGACGACTGCAAGGTTTTAGCCCAGGACATAACCGACCTCCATCGCCTCTGCTTTAGCACATTTTCTGGCGATAACTCCAACCCTACCGACCCTCACAGTCCTCGAGACCAACCACTTGCAGAATGGGAGCATCTCGACGAAGAATTTACCCTCACTCATGTGAAGATCATTGAAATTCTTAGAGAACTAACCCCCCCAGAAGGCCTCCGATTGAAGCTCCCTAAACTCACTTTGCCCACTTTCAATGGACACTGGGCAGATTGGCCATCCTTTAAGTCCGAATTCAACGACAAGGTGAACGATTCTAGTAAATTCCCTCGTCACAAAAAGCTTCACTTACTCAAAGAAGCCCTAACTGGACCGGCCCTCGAAGCCATTCAGGACCTGCAAGAAACCGACCGAAACTGGGACGCAGCATGGGACAAATTGCTGAGCAGATATGACAGTCAAAAAATAGCAGCGTACGCCGCTATTAAACCTTTATTTCAACTGCGACCCATGAAAAAGATGACCGGAGACGGTATATACCACGTGCTCGCAGAAGTTCGTACAGCCCAGGCTCGCCTGAGCGAAGTCGACCTTGGTACCGTTACTCGAGAAGAGGTGATCTTCTCAGGCTTCATTTTAGCACAATTAGAAGATGAAGATGTCGTAAGGTTTCTGGAATCTTTGCCCGACAATAATGTACCATCGATGGACACATTGGTTTCCTGGGTTGAGAATTACGCCAGATCACTCGAGTTTGCACGATCATCGTCTCATCAACGACGCCGTGGACGCTAAAAAATAAATCCGAATCAGTTAACGCCGTTCTGCTCGGAATTGCCAAATCGTAATACATAATTAGTTATTGTTCGTGCTTCATATTTACATATATCATAAGGATAATTATGTTAGATTTTAGATTAATATGTCATAATTGCAATACAATTGTGGGAATAAAATTAAAAATATTATGTATGTATGTATCTATAGGATTAGACCAAATTCTTGGGTGTCATGTTGAGATACCGCAGAGTGGTAATGTGTCCCACTTTTTAATATTATTTTATGACATTACGTATCAGCAAATTTTATCCATACGCCTCATCCTCTTCAGTAGCCAATAAATACTAAAAAGTTTTTCAGCCCTACTCCTAAAAACAAATTGAGCACTAATTTTATACGTATATATGTATACATATATGTATGAATTTACATGTTTTTACCAACTTATGTGTAAATGCTATTAACGGACGACGTGTGCAATTGTAATATTTTTTAAATTTGAATTGAAATAATAAAAGTGCTACGGTGTTAAAAATCTGAAAAACTTCGACCGTGTCATATATGTACATATGTATATATGTATGTACATACATACTTGTACTTATATAGCATACATGCATACACTATCCTAGTATTTATTTTGTATCGCACTAGTAGTAGTTTGTTCCTGAGTGTTTCATTAAATCATTACTACCACATTGCTAAACCCCAATACTGTATACTATTACCGTATTTACTCCGGCCAGTAATGATTTAATACCAGTTGCCCAAGACGATATGTACAAATGTATGTATGTATATATCTGCCCTTGCGTGAGTACATACATAAATCGTAGTAAATATATAACAAGCATACATAAATTTCATACAAAAATAAAATTTATTCTGGGAACACTTACTGATTAACAAAGAGTGTCAGCACAAACAAACAAATTTCAATATCACAAATTAAACTAAAATTATGCAGCTAAATAAATAAATACTACGAATTAAATATGTACGTACTATGAATATAACCAAAATTATGAATTAAAAAAGTTGATCGAAAAGCATACATACTAAATAAATATCTAAATAAAACATATTTACATAATTCGTGATGTCTTCTACACATCTTCTACAGTTATAAAAGTTGACCGTGATATATTTAGATATTTATGTACTATTATGACTTATGATGCAAGGATAAAGTTAAAAGATTTGTACAATTTTGAAAAACTTGGAAAGGCACACAATTTTTGGAGGCAATTCCGTAAAATGAAAACTTAAATATTCCCTATAATTCAACCCAACTCTTATTAAAAACTCAAAGTAATGTAACCCTTTATTTAAAAAAATTAAAACAAGATCTACCGACAAACTGTGGTGACTAGTTGACATACATAAATATTATTTAAATACGACGCTAAAATGCCAATTTCGACTTGGATGGATTCATAAAATTTTCATGGATTAAAGATCTCATTTTCTCCGTGTATGTAAAATAGCCTCATTTTTAAAAACTGAATTTTAAAAACCCTGTTTGAGTATTACGTATAATTTCGGGGTACATATTATTAATTAGTACCGGCTGAAAATATGAGGTTTGCATATCTTTTGTTGATTAATAAATATGATGCGATTCTAACATTGAGTATGTACGTGCATATGTAAATTGTGTTAGATTATCTAAGTTCCGGAGGTTTTCGTTTTCGTTTACGCTGCTGCGTTTTCTGACAGTATTCCATGTGCTTTTTGGTAAACCATTTCTGAAAAGGGAAACAATAAGAATTAGGAAAATAAAGATGAACCATTAATTGCAACGTACACTCTAAATAAAGCTGTGCAAAATTTATTCGAGGTTGAGCAAAATAAAGGATAAGACAACAATTGGGTTAAATTTTGCACAAAATTGGGCAAATTTTACCCAATTGTTGTGCAAATTTTGCAGTTTTGCAATGAGTGAATTTTGCACCACTTTACTTAGTTCGTAGATATTTATGCGAATTTCCGTAATCACTCACCGCCACAACAGGAATCTCGACGCCACACTCTTTTGCCACGTTGGCAATAACGCTAGTGTCCGGGTAGCACTTCAACTGCTGATAGATGAGGTTCAGTTTGGAAATGTGGATCGCTTTTAAGTCCTTGGAACGAGGGGTGGGGTTTTCTAGGAGGGAAGATGGAAAATTGTTTTGATTAAATATATGAGATAGGGCTTAATTTTGACTTTTTCAGTAAAGTCAGGCAGATTTCTCGGTATTAAGGTTGCAACCGCTTGGTATTAAAATTATTTATACCAGTCCATAAAAATTTGCTACCGAAATTGTAACCCGTACCACTGGTGCTGATCACACCAGTGATACGGGTCTCAATCCGACCCACCCGGGGAGAAATCTATCCCTTCTGCCATCTGGAAATAGCCGGAAGATCTTTCTCCCACTCGGGAAGAACGAGGCAACCTTGCTCTCGTCTCATTTTTCTTTTCCTCCTTCTTTTTCTCTTTTTGGAAAGACATTCAGTCTAATACCTCCTTATGAGCAACATCTTTATTTTAGGGTTCTTCTTCTTTAAATATTTTTATAGCGTGTAAAATAATTCATATTCCAGCTTTAAAATAAATATTAGTTATTTAAGAGAGCCCCCCTTTGTGTTGCCGTTATCATTTAACTGCTCTTCACCGAAAAGTCGGGATAACTTCCCCCCAGGAAGTTAGAATTAGGTCGCGAATAGGGACATAAGTACATATAAGAGGGAACATATCAATTTCACATCATCCTCCCTTCCCATTACAATTCAACCATATTCGTTACATACCAGTCCATAAAAATTTGCTACCGAAATGGTAACACTTTTATGCTGGGTAATTACTACATGGAATTGTTTTTCAATAACATTATTTAAGATTTTAATTTATCTTATTATTTAATCTTATTACATGGGCAATACCACGTTTGTAATGTTGAATACGGCTTGGTATTGTTTTAATACCGGATTTCTAAGAGTGTTAGTTACTAAATATTCCATACCTTCTTCAACCGCTCGAGATGTCGAGGGTACTTCACCATCATCCAAAACCCGAGTGATCCTCACGTCACGGACAATGGACCTCACGTCTTCGACTATTCTGGCTTTTTGAACCTTGCTGAGCTCAAGGTTAGTCGTTTTTGGCGGGGTTTGCAATGGTGGTGGCGGGCTGGGGTCTTTTCTAACCGAAGTATTCCCCGATGTTTTCGACGTGGGGACTTTATGTCTTGATGTAACTGTTCGGGAAGTTGAAGGTATTTCACGATCCGACCTATTGTTCGGGTGATGCACGCTACGTTCGATGTGAACCCTCGCATTTACTGCTTTTATAGCTGCTTGAATCTTTTCGTTAATTCCTGCCTCGTCGGGTTTCGCGACTTTTTTGGGCGGGGGTTGTGTCGGCGGGGGAGGAGTTGGGTTTTTCCGGCGCAGATTATTACTAACCGACCTGGATGAGGATGACCTGGATGAGGATGGAGGCGGGGTTTTGTTTCTTGGAAGGCTTTTATTTCTTGGCGGGCTTTTGTTTCTTGGCAGGTTTTTATTTCTTGGCGGGCTTTTGTTCCTTGGCGGGTTTAGCCGGTTTGTCGCAGGCGGATAGACATTTCTTGATTCGAAATTCCTTCCCGCTCTCGATTCGAAATTCCTTCCCGCCTTGGACGGTGGCGTTTCGACATCAGGAACATACTTATGGCAGATAAGTCCCGTTCTACTTGTCGATGGTACCGGATCGTTTGTAGTTTTCCTCGTTTTGGACGCCGGCCCTGGCCTCCGTTTTTCCAGATTTGGCGGGGAATTTGTATCATTTTTTGGCGGAGTGTTCCCCTGTGTGACAGATCTTGTTTGGTGTCCGTTACTCTGTGGAGATGGCGCCACAGAGAAAATAACTTCATGCTCGGATTCCCCCTTGCTTTCCACGGGGATCAGGTGACTCCGGCCGATGTGGTTGTACAGCCCGTCGAAGCTGTGTTCCACCGCGCAGAAGGGACACACCACCATCTCCTTGTCGCCCTCGAGGGCGTGGTACATGTTTAGGTGATCTTTATACGTGTTTCCATGGCGGGAAAGGGTTAAAAAGCAGACGGGACAGTGTTTCCGGTTGTGCTCTTTTTTCTGATGGATGACCCCGTCGCACCGGGTGGGGAAGCTCTTTTCGCATTTACGGCAGGTTTTTATGAGGTGAATGAGTTGGGTGGTGTTCAGGAAGAGGGGTTCGAGTGGGGGAGGGATGTTGGCGGAGGAGGTGTGACGGGCTCGGGAGGTGGGGGGTGGGGATGGAGAGGAGGAGGAGGAGGAGGAGGAGGAAGCGAGCGGATCACGAGGCGGATGGCGGGATTTGCGGGGTTCGTAGCGTGGGGGAGGATGGGCGGGATTTGATTGTGTGGTGCGGGGAGGAGGTGATATTGGGGATAAGGTCGGGGGCCCGGAAGTTCTTGAGGTTTGAGGAGACACGGTAGCGGCGTGAGTAATTGAAGGTGGCGAATCTAATATACATAGATAGATTTGTTGAAAATGTTAATGAAGCAGTTTACGCAGTCATTTGTAACTTTGTAAAATCCGTAAAATCGTTTTGTTAAGTTTTATAGAATAAAAAACGCACTTGGTCTGGTTAAGTTTAAAATTTGTGAAAAATTTGTGATCTATTTTGTCATACAAATATTTGTAAAATTTGTAAGAATACGGATTTTACAAAGTTACAACAGACATCGTGAATTGCCTCAACATTGGAATTAATTTAAATGTATCATTTATATATATTTATGTATATTTAAATCATGCATAATTATGTAAATTGTGTACGCATAGATATGTACCTGTAGTAATGTCTATAATTGGCCTCGTAATTAGCTCTCCGTTTAACAAGCTTTCACCCGTTTGTGTGTCAAATGATATCTTTGGTGGGGGTGGGGCGGGTGGCAATTTTCGGGTGGTCGTGGGGGTAGAAGTGGACGTATTGTTTTGTTCCACATTTTCTACCCGGGTTAGAATCGGTCTCCCGTCCGGCCCTAATCTGATTAGTAGGGCGAGATCCGAATTAATATTCAGACTGATTTCTGGATGAGTCGATGTGGAAGCTGTGGTGTGAACAAAGCTAGGCGTTGGCGTGGGCTGTTGACTAACATTGGCGGGCGTGGGGGCCCCGGATGTGTTAGGCGATCCCGCAGTTGAGATTAATATCGGTGAGAGAGGCTCTGGAAATTAAATATTGGTGAAATTTTTTTAAGAAATTTTTATGTAATGCGGGAACATTTGCATAAAATGGATTTGTCGTCACGATAAAATTTAGTACAACCTAAATAGTTTGGAGGCAAATTGTCATCTTATACTTCTCTATTTTTGGGTAATGATTAAGGAGACGTTTTATCACCGACGGAAAATAAATACGTCACAAACTCGTGTACCAACGTACGTGGCGTTATTATTAAAAAAAAATAACATTTCCAGATATTACTTGAATACATATGTATAAGATTTTTTATATGAAAGTATTATTTTTTTAATAAAAACGTCACGTGGGGTACATGAGTTTTTGCTTTGTTTCCCCTTGGTGATAAAGCGTCTCCTAAATCATTACCGAAAAATAGAGAACTGTAGTACCCCCTTGGTCACAATTTGTCTTGGTCACAAGTTATTTAAGGTGTACTAAATTTGCGACATTTGTAAATGCAAAGTTGACGTGAATACGCCCAAAATAATTACTCTGCTGTGCTCCTCCACTTTGCTGTGGCGGAGTAGGAAAACTACTCGTTTCTTGTGGGCGTGGTCCCCGCTGCCATGCCGTTTGTAACGGTACATTTTGTCCTTTGTTCCGCTGTAATTTCCTAGCCGCCCAGAGATCCTTCTTTTTCTGTCGGCGTCGTTGTCGTTCCGCTTTGTCGACGGACTTCTCCTCCACGATTTGGATAACGTCGTCGTCATCTTCCTCTTCAGATGAGATGAGGTTGACGACGACCTCGGAGGGATCGCTGGGTTCGAAAGGAATCGTGACCTCGGGAGCGGCAAGGATTTCGTCATCCATTGTACGGGATTTTTCTTGTGGGGGGTGAACCTTTTTGACACCGTCGGGGCGGAAATCGTTACAATTTCCGCATCTAAATTTTAAAAAAAGTGTAACAATTACTTAAATATGTAAATGAGGTAAACATAGTATTTCTTAATTAGTATTAATTCACATACTCTGAGAAGTAGTAGCGCCTCCAAATCGGGAAATTTATCACTTTCTGCATACCTGTAAAAGACATTGAAGTATTCAAATATAAATCGTTCTTGTTTCACAATGTTCACGCACAATAATAAAGTTTCCGAAAAGATTGGGCAAAATTTTGAAATAAAAATTTGTCAAGAATTTCATTAACGTGTAAGAGAAAATTTATTACAAGACTGGTTGTGTATGTAATTATGTACTAAAATTTACTGTGCGGTATGGATAAATGACAATTTATGTATTTTTTATGTATGTAAGTACACTAGCACCGACACAATGGGTAAATTTGATGACTGCATAAACTTAACTGCTTAATTTAATAATACCTTCATGGACACGAGGAATTAAATACACTCATTATTAACAAATGTCCATAAATATGTGCATAGGGGGAAGGTTACATTTGCATACATATGTATGTATTTCTGTACTTAATTCCTAGAAGTTGCCTTCACAAGCACAAGCACCCACCCGTTGCAGATATTCTTTCAATCACACCGTTACATATTGTGTATTTGTACATATATATTAGAAATCTGGTAGATTCGCATGTACATAAATACATACTAATCTTCAGTACTGGTATTGATTTGGTAATAACTTCCTACCGGGCTGGTAGTAGTCTGTTTTTGAGAGATATATTTTTCATGAACAATGATGTCAGTTTCTACGGTAAAGGCAAATATTTAATATGTATGTACTATGTACTCCGCCGAGTAATGATTTAATACCAGCTTTCCAAGAGTGCATACATACAAACGAAACTCGAGAATTAAGTAATTCAGTTCATTTACTATCGTCAAAATGTTTATGAACATCCGTCATATTTCTGGATTTCTTAAATACCAATGTGGTTAAACCCCATTTTTTTCAATAAATCGGCAAATCAGGAAAAACTTTGTTTCATAAAAATTATCCAACCAAAATTTGTGCTCTTCTTACTTTTATTTGTCACACGCCAAACCCCGAGGAGAAATTTTCAGTAGTACAACAAGGGCAAAAATTATATGAGTCTAATAACACTAGCACATTTGCTAGCGTTTATATTCAAGAGGAAGAACCAGTACCAGATATAAAATAAGACTGACTTTATCAAGAATTCTTACTTCCTATTTATACTAATATACATAAATATGAACTTTGGTCATTCATCCAATTGTACATACATATACATACATACATAAGTTCACATATTTACATAGTTCACTGTTGACTGTATTCGTTCATGATTTTGAAGTCGTTAATTAATGTAACTACTTCACAAAAACATGGCACATGTGTGCATATTGTACACATTGTACATAAATATGTAAGTATGTATGTATGTATATGTATGGACTATGATTAGCTGATCATGGAGAATTATCAGAGACAACATACATATGTATGGACTGCAAACCTACTTTTTGCAGGGCTTTGCCAAAGGGAACTATATCTCCGAATGGGGAAAATTAAGGCATTTTTAATGCTTTATGGAAGTAACGCCAATTTTTTTTCATAAAACAATAAATAAATTTTGATATCTAATATGCACCTTTCTTAATTTTATTACTAAATTTATTATTTTTGAATTATTTTTACCATAATCACGTTTTATCCCAAAGCCGGTTTAATGAGTTTGGTCCCTGGCCTCCTTAATCAAGTGCAACGACTTAGCTGGTCTTAACCAAAGTGAGTCTAACCCACATAGTGAATCCGGCTCCAGGTGGTGAGGAATTCCTATACCATGCTTGCTTGATAAAGACGACTAGTAGTTCATCTCTTATATACTAATCTAAGCTGCATACTCAATGTTGTCTCAATAATTTTACGATACGATTCATGGCGTCGGAGGTACTATGTAATTCTATCGTTGTGGTAATAATTTCTCACCGAAGGGTGACAGATATATGCATACACGCAGAGTAAAACTCTGATGTAACTTACATATACCCTCACAATTATTTTATGATACGATTGCTACCGGCGGAGGTATTAGTTCTACCGGGTGGTGACACCATAATAACAAGTTGTCTTCTGAGGGTGAGGAATTGGCTCCGTGTTGGTAATATATTTATTACCAGAGCGTTGACATTAGGGGCTCAGCAGGATTTAACCTTAGTGCATAATATGCACAAAGGATAGGATGATGGATGGCATATTTATGTATGCACGATATGTCATCATCCTTCGGTGATAAATTGTTACCAAGCCGTTAAATTGCGTTGTACCTTCGTCGGTAACAATCTAATCATAAAATATTTATTGTAAATATGTGCATATACAAATATCTATATGCATGTATGTATATATAAATGCACCATTCCATTTGCACGCGTGCAGTGGACTTTTACATACTTATTTATGGACATATGTACTTCATGCTGATTTGCGAATCTTGTGTCCAAAAACAAAATACTGATGACTCGACTAAACAAAAGGAAGAAACTTACTTGAAGATATAACCTGATTTAATTAATTAAAGCTGGAATTACTTGAAGGCTAAGATGCAATGCATGCAGAAAGTTATCAATAAAGTTTTGTCACCAAAACTGCTGCATCAGGAGGTCGCCAAGTCAAAAAAATATTCAGCTTATTAACTAGTATTGCATACATCATCTACATATGTATGTACCCACTACCACATACATATGTACATAGGTAGGTCTTATCTAAGGATAAGTGCCTGATTTTGGCTTTGGAGATAGAAAAGTGAACATAATAAAAAACTGGGGGTGTAACAATACCACGTAATCACCGATGATTTGTTTCAGAAATTTTTTAATAAATATGTAATACTAGTTTTCTAGTTACAAGTGTGTAATACTTGGTTTTCTTTCATCACCAAGATATGTATGCGTATAATATCCTTTGTAATATACATCGTCCATTTTCTAAGGGATTTAATTTGATAGGTAAGAATGATAGGAATTTATAATTTATAAACAAATCCAATAAATTAATATACATATGTACAAATATTTGCATGTGACATATACACCATTTCACCTAGTTTTAAATGCAGTGAACACATGTACATAAATATATCACACTAGAATATTTGCCCTGATAACGGGTAATTAGTAAATTAGCATTTTTAATATGTACAATGTATTTCTCCCATCATAAGTACATTGTACATGGATACATCGAGTTATGCTTATGTACATACATACCTATGTACATATGCACGTGTTTGCTAATTTTCGAACGATTTAAACAAAAATACGTCCTCGAAATCTCGAATTCCATTATAGTTAAATTTATGTCCCATAATGTATCTTTGTAACCAATGTGTGCGTCTATTTTACCATGGCATTACTTGAAGATGTACATATATGTATGCATGTATGTACATACATTCATTGCGGTAGTAAGTTTTTCTTCGATTTTAGAATTCAATGCATAATAAAGTATACCGTTCAGTTTTAAATAATTCAAATTTTTAAATTTTTATAATCCTTACATTAGCTGATATGTACATATGTACATATCTCGAGGCAATTCACGGAGTACTTGGTAAATTTGCAAAATCTGTAAAATCCAATTTAGAAACTTTTACCAAATTTTCCAAGGAAAACTACGTTACAAATTGTTGTAAACTTACTCATCATCAGATCAAGTGCATCATTTAATTCTATAAATTGTTTTAAAATAACTTTACAAGATTTTTCGTTTGAGAAGGCTTCGTCGGAATACATGGGTGTGTGTTGTAAAAGATTTTTCGTATTTTACAAAATTACCAAGGACTGCATAAATTGCCTCACTGTCTAACACTAAAATTTGATAAAAATGAAATACTTACATATTTAAAAGTTTCCAATATTTCCTAATGTCAGTAGCTATCCTGTCTCCTTAAATTTACGAAAACTTGTGACTTTTGCACACTTTACACGCCTTTATACACATTTGCTCAAAACAGTAATATGCACATTTTGTTAGCGGACGAATTTTACTAAATTGTTTTCCACCACGTAGTGGACTTGATAAAATACTGCCCAATTTTGTAAAGGTAGCCGTACTAATTTTAGATTTCGGTATAAAAAGGTAGCGTAAAAATTCTTCATCGTGCTAAAGGAGGTGAAAGTTCGAGTTTGTTAAGATTTGGATAGCGGTTTCGAGAGGAGACGATTATCATTCGTTGACGGAGGGTGTCTGGTGTCAGGTTGGGATGAGAAAAACGTGAATGTCTGTATGCATATATGTGGTAGAATATGGACAATAGTGTGCACATACATAAGTACTTATTTTATGGCTGTGTTTTGGGTACTGATTTTGGGCTGACTTGTAACAATAAGGTTTCAAACTAATCGTTTTTGCTGTTAAAAACGAAAACGAGTCAGAATTTAACATTGCATGCATATGTACAATAATGTACCTACATACATACTACATGCATACATATGTAGGTATGTATTTTGTATGCAATTTTTGTTCAGGGAGGACACTTATTAATGGGTAGAAACAATGCAATTTTTTTCTTATAATTCAGTACATGCTTTATTGATGTACATAAATATGCACATGCATACATTGATTTTTAGGCAACTTGCAGTATGTCTTTTTCATAAGTCATCACTGGCTGGAAGACTTACATGTGTATGTATACTCGTAATTCTAACGGCATGGTAGATAATAACAGACATTGCAGTTAGTAGGGATATGGTAATGAAAAATTTACCATTCAGAAACAAACTACTACTAATCCGGTAGAAAGTAACTACCAAATCAATACCATCATAGAGTATGTACATATATACATATTCACGTGGCTCTACCTTATTTTTAGCAGTGTGTTAATTTATGTATATCAATCGTATGCATGTATGTATGTATGGACTTACATGCAAAACTGTAAGTATCCTACTAACAATACTTGCTAACGATACTTACGGTTATGTAGCCTGCACCCTAAGGGTACAGGGTGCAGATATACGTGCATATGCATGTACATAAATAAGGGTTGATTCATAAATCGTGGCACAGTTTTGCCTTTAGCTCCAGCTTTAACAAAGATTGAAATTCTTGTGTATGAATTGTTTCATATGATAGCCCAACCGATGTAGTATTAGGGTTTTAGTTCAAAAGGGCTGATAAATAAACATGAACATCGTCAGACAAAAAGAGAAACAAGTCCAACCAAATCTCTTGGTGCACTTTTACAAAAATGCGGCGAAATTGGACGAGGAAAAGATGTACCACCACCTCAAAAATGAAAATATTCCAAATCCCTCAAATTCCCGTTATATGTCAATGTATGACTCAAGAAAATCAGCCGTGTTCAAAAAAATTATTCATCACCTGGTGTGGCAGACCACATCCAAAATCATTAAAGCAATGCTGATAATTTTCAGGGAACGCTATTGACGAAAGATAACATCCATGACGACCGAAGGTGACGAAAATCCTGCTTTGAATCCGACTCGTAATGAGTCAAACCTAAAGATTGTGGGGAGAAAGTCAGGAAAAGCAAAAATCCACAGGTCTGGAAAAACCTGTGAGAAATTTCTTCTAGAGGGTCGACGGGACCAAAGTGATTTTGGTCAATGTTGTGCATCGCATTTGCAACAATTATTAACAACGTTGTTAAAATTTAAACTTAGCGTTTAGTAATAAACGCCTTTTCAAATCGTGCCACGATTTATGAATCAATCCTTACATATGTGTACCTGTATGCATATGTGTTTCAGATTCGATGGGGGGCATTAATAAAGGAGAAGATAAGACTTGGGTGAGAAATGAGTCACTGAATGTATGTAAATAAATACATATTGACATCTTAACCTGACGTTGCTTTTTTCTTCAATTGGTGATGAAGTGGACTTTTGGAACGCATGAGTCACCACCAAAGTCTAGTCTCCGTTCTGAAAAAGCACTTTGTGTAATTCGAAGCATTGACGCATTATCCTAGACATTGTACGCTTTTCTACGCAATGGTGATCTTGATACGTGTATATGTATATGTACATGAATTTTATCTACAAATACATATGTATCTGCATACATATTTACACAAATACGTATGTAGTGTATTTCTTTGAATTTTCCTACATTTCGATATTTGTTCAGGTGCCTTTAAATGTGTGCATATGTTATCAGTGTTATTGCATTTTTACATTATTTTTACATTGCATTTTAATGGAATTCGTTCATTTCTTCTACAGGGAGTTGGAGAAGATGAATCATAAAATTCTGAAGATAACAGACAAGCTTATCTTTCCTTATCTCTACAATGTGGACAAGTTACATAAGCATTATCAAACCTGTCACAAACGTGAATTGGGTGTATCTAAATATAATGCAATGTGATCTACATATGTAAGTATACACTCCTAGAAATTCTGTATTAATACCAAGCCGTATTCATACAAAGATGACCCTACCAAAGTGATACTAATACATATGTATGTAAGTAATACCATGTAGGAATAGTTCGATATTAAAGTTTTACAATATTGATAGCAAATTTTTATGCACCGCAATACATAATTTCAATACCAAGCGGTAGCAACTATAGCACCGATCAATTAATGCATGCGTAACGAAATTTGTATAACAGATTGATAACAATTATTCACACCGGGGGCCTTGTATAAAGTGCGGTATCAATTTAAGTGGTCAGGTTAGGGTTCAATGCATTTCATAGTGATTTTAATAGGCAAGCACGTGTGTATTTATTTTTAACCGAAACCCGATCATATTTCTTATTGCATAACCGTGAAATTCTAAATTACATTGTTGCGCATGCAACAATTTTGAGAATAATTTTCATCAGTATTAATTGAGGCATAAATTTGGGCATTAAATTTGTGTAGAATTCGTGGACGAATTATGTACTTGATTGATTGATTTGTCCAATTTTGCTCCTCCCGTGGTACGCTGTTTTGTTTATCCTGCATTTACTCAATTTCCACTCTTAATGGACAGCCGTTAAATTTATTGCGGTATATTATGAGCCCAACCTTGGTAGTTTTATTGTCCAATTAATTTTTTAAACAATTCAGCTCAACCGCTGTTTTATGCTTTCAACTCACAGCTACACAAAATTGGTATGTAATAATAAAATGTCACACTCCAAAAATATAATTTAGACAGATTTTATTTTCTCAAAAGAATTCACCAATTCAAGAATAATAATCTCATTCCTCCCCCTCCAAAATAAATTTCCCCCTAGAAACTACCCCCCGCTTTCAGGTCGAAACTTAAAAGGTGGGTGGTGGGCAGGTGGAACCACCGCCGCCAATAAGGTCCAAGAAATCTTGGAGAGTATAATCAGCAATCTTCTCATTAACCGCGAGCCTAATCTTCTCCACGACGGCGGCATTGTTGGAGGCGAATTCGGAGTCGACGCAAGCCTTGAGTCCGGCATTGAAGGCGGGCCAGTCAATGGGGGATCCACCAATGACGTAGTCGTCGCTCAGGTTGGCCGTGATGGTGGTGAAGGAGAAGGAAGACACGGCCAAAAGACGGAGCGAGATGCGGTCGGTGATCAAGTTGATGAAAATGGTGGCAGTTCCGACAGCTCGGAGTCCGACGACGGTCGCGGTCGCGGGAGCGGGGCCGTTAGCGCCACCGGTGAAGTTTCCGGATGGGATGCATCCCTGGGAGAAGGGCCTGGCGTCAAGGTAACCGGTCGCGGTGTAGAGCGTGTCAAGGCTGAGGGATCCAACGGTGATGGTGAACTCGGCCGTGAGGGCGATCAAGTTGATGGTGTATTCGTAAGCGAAGGTGTCGAGACCGTTGATGGTGGAGACGCTGTTGAATAAAACGTTTCAAAACGTTAGAAAATTAAACGTTTTAAAACAGGGAAAAACGTCTCAACTTACCCACGGGTTCCGCCCTGGTGGATTTCGAGGATTGGGTGGAGCGTGATGTTCAAGGGGCCCTCAGTGCCGATGTATTCGGCGGGAAGGGCTGTAGAATTAAGGGATAGTTTTAAAAATTGTGAAATTAAGAAATTTTGAAATATTTTCAACATTTGAAAAATTTTCGATTCTATACTTACGACACGGTGGGCCGGTTTCTCTCGTTTGCTTGATGGAGTTGGCAAAGCTGCCGGCGACGAGGAGAAGGACGATGGCGAAGACCTGCATGGTGGCGATTGATTTTTTTGGAAAAGTTGAGACTTGGAAACTTATTGGGAAAGCTAGAAAGCCTGACTGATGAAAGTGAGGGGATTCGGGGTGCTTTAAATAGGTGTCGGATCTCGTATGTGGAGCGTATAGTGGGCTTATCGGAGGGATGAGAGCGACAAATGGGGACAAAGGTGGATGGGGAGAGAGAAAAAGATAAGGTAAAAATGGGTATGAAACTATGCCAGACTTGTACTTCATTGGGTGAGAACATGATTTTGGTTTACGTATGTGAATCGATAACGAATCTGATTGATTGATCGGTTCCAAGTTAATTGGGTTGTGTAATAGATTCCACGTTTTTCGGGGAGAGAGAGATTAAGATAAGTCTGATGTGGGTGGGTGTAAGTATATCTTCCGTTAATTCAAGGCAGGTATGTATGCAAATAGCGAGCTTGTAAATTTTGATACAGTTTTTTCAATATACATAAAACTGTTGAAATTTTGCGGATAGTATGAATCTGAATAATAATTTATAAGCTAACCCTGGTATAAAATTTATTATTTACGCTGTTAGAAATCTAGTATAGCCACACACAGGTATTTATTTCTCGGTAGTAAACTTGTTACTCTTTGGTATTAAAATTATGCCGTTCCTTAAAGATTTGCTACCGATATGGTGAAGCTTTAAGTGAAGTGACACCGTGCAATTACACACGGTATCACTTATCAATACAACTTTTGTAGAGTCACATATATGTAAATATCACCTGGTATTATTTGTATACTACATTCCTAGGAGTGTAAATGCAAAAAATGCACAAACTATTCCAAATTTAATGCTCATTTCTTACAATGTTAAGGCTAATGAATAAAACGTCCCAACTTGGCTCGGGCTATTCGAACTAATTGTATTCATGCATATGTAAATATGTACATTTTGATGCATTGTGTCCACACCGAGAAAAATCCTGCTACACATTTAGGTATCCATTTCAGTCTATCTGTACCTCAGGTAAACAAGGAGAACTGCATAATCGTCATAAATATTGTAATATCGAAAAAAACAATTAATGTAACCATTGCATCATCTCTTGTCTTGTTACACAACTTGACACATAAATAATCTCAACTATCCGTCATCACTTACAAATGTATGTACAAATTAACTAATTAAGTAAGATCAGGACAATTTTACATGATGAACATTGTTGCTAAAAATATCTCAAAAAATGCAGCTCTTATGTAAACCGAACACGTAATTGACCTGTCAGGAATGATTTGACCAGAGAGCGAAACGCACTCCGGACCCGACCCGCCTTATCTGTGGCATGGGTGCAGTGGTTAATTTTACACAAATTAGCACGGATGGCTAGATAAGTGCTTACCTGCTTACGTCCAGCTATGTATTTGATTGACACATTTTGATTAATTGGCCGGTACAAAATCCAAAGTTGGGTGGGCAACGGGGCAGGTATTTAACAACCAGGTATAGGTATGGGACCTGGCATAAAGGACGTGGAAAGTTTGAGGAGGGTGTGGTCAGGGCACTCTGTGATCATAAGTACCTGTTCATGCTCATTTATTTGACTGATTAGGAAAATTAAATTCCTCCAATTTCAGAGAAAATGACTGAAGGATTTCATCATTTCAGATGAATGACTGTTGATGAAAGGATTTTTTACCCTTTTCATTTTTCACTTAAGAAATGAATTTCGATGAAGTGCAATGAAATGAGTTTGAAAGAAAATGAATGATAATGAAAATCTTCAGTCAGAAATTGAGATGACCGACGTTTGAATGAAACTCAATTTTTGAACAGGTATGTCTGTGATACGGGAGTCGTCTGTACAGCCTGGGTTAAGGGTCAAATTTTGATGACACACTTTATACTGGGCCCATATGGCATGATTCTCGTACTATTAATTAGTGCAGCCTACTTACATATGTAAATACCTTATTTTACCAGGTGTAAAGTGCATGACACGATTAAAAAGTGTGATGGGATGGGGTCAGCCTGGAGAGGTTGAGACGATAAAAATAAATGGACTCGATCGGTGCGATGAATGGGTCGGTAATTAAGTGCGGATCAAAGCGATTTAATTGCATGGACTTTCCTGCACTTAAATGGAAACGTGTTTTAAGTACATACACTTAATTTGCATATTTGTGTGCATGAACATAATTAGGGAAAATCCCTGGGTGGCGTGATTTATTAATGAGACGATATAGGACAAAGTGTAAATTCCGAGGGGAATATGTATGTAGGGAATTTTATTCTTTATTAATTGTATTTATGTTGCAGACGTAAATACTTACTTTGTAATTGAACATCCAAGTTCTGATTATTTGCAAAAGTGAGATTTAACATAAATACATAGATTATAGTTCAGAAATAGTTAAGTGTATCTAAAGAAGGGAAGAAATGTACCTTTACATGTAGTATCAACACGCATCAAAATTTTAGAATTAATTCGTCCATGATATTCAGAACAATTTGAAATTTTATACACAAATTTACCCCTCCATTTATGTATACTTTTTTAAATGGTACAACAATAGGGTATTAATTAGCAGTAAAGTCCACAGTTAATTGGGCTACGAAATATTCCATTATCAAACTTCGGATCATTTGCACAGTATATTTCAGAAGTGGATTTAATGTACTAAATATTTGTAGTCGCAACCTTTACGAGGATTTGAACAACTTTTTTCAACTGATAAGTAGTTCTTCTACCAAATTTATTTGTGATTTTCTTACCCAGGATGAGGCAACTTCATCCCCAAACTAGCAGATTTAAGCCAGGAAGGAAGTTTTAAGTTGACAAAAATAGGTTATTAAATCCGTAGAAATCTTTTCATTAATTTAGCAAAAGAGAAATGCACAATTACGCAAAATTTAAAAGTTACCTAAAAAATGTGTGATTAGGACTCATTTTACATGTAAAATTAAATAATATCAGTAATTGTGCTCAATGGATATTCCTTGGTGGAGCTAATAAATACATTTTTCTATCTTCATATCCATCTCTCCATATTTTATTAAGGCTATGTATGTGCATGAGAACAATACGTCAGATTCTTAGAATGTAAAAATCATCTTTAAATTCCCAATGTTGTTAAAAGTTTATCGTTTACTCGTTTTCGAATGATTTTTTAGTCAGGCTTTGATTACTTCCAAGATAAAAAATTCAACTAGTCGCGCATTTTTGCTACATTTTTTCATTTTCAGATTTTAAAATAGTCAGAACCATTACTCTATTTTGTATTGTAATTTTGACTAATTTTTTATATATATAATGAGAGCTGTTATTAACAAAAATATGTTTCCTAAATTAAATTTGTCGTTTAAGTATATTTTGACGAAATTAGTATGTAAATAATTCTGTGCAGACGACATGTTTGGAGTAAGAGCAATGCCATTTCTGTATGTAGGTCAGGCTATATTGTGAAAATTATAATACTTTATATCGTAAATACATTAATGTGACATTTAATTTATTCCTCTCCCATTATTTGCTAAAAAGTTTAAATAATTAAATGAAGTATTTATGTATAAGGTGATTCGTAACGGTCGCAGTGGTGAATAAGTCTGATCTTCATTCAACACTTTAAAGTGTTCTTATTGTATTACATATAATGATAGGTTTACATATCTACTTAATATAAAATAAATTTAACTTAAAAGTTAAATGGTTAAATAAATTTAACTTAATATAAAATACATATTTCAGAACGTGTGTGAAAATAAAAATAAATTATTTTTACAAAAAAACACTCTTAGGTGAGACAATACATACATTGCGAATAAAAAAATAAAACAAGAAATGTACCATTTCTTTAGCCTGTCAAGGATTGGATAACATATTGGTAATTTATATGTACAATAGTAATTGTGGTGTTTGTATTATGCACGTTTCCTCACCGTGGGCCCATCATGATAAAATTATTTATTAAATGAAAGCACTAACTCGATACAAATGCGTCCAGAAGTGTAAATTATTTTACGAATTTAATTGCGTGGAATTTCAATGAAATTGGAGTTTTCATCCTAATATATTGATCCATCCTAATATATCAAGCCATTGCCATTTCTTAACTTAAGTATGTAATGTCACTATTATTTAATAACCGTATTCCCGTGATTTCACGGAAAACTAAATGTAACCTGAAATTTGTCTAACTTTCGAAAATGGACCCACTGTGAGGAAATGTGCATAATACAAACACCACAATTACTATTGTACATATAAATTACCAATATGTTATCCACAGGGTATTCCGACCCCGGGTTTTACTGGGTTGGGGTTTTGGGGTTTTACTGGGTTTTACTGGGTTGTAAATTAATAAAACCCCGCGGGTTTTACTATGTTAAAGGGGTTTTACTTGGGTTTTACTGGGTTTTACTCGGGTTTTACCAAGTTTTATCTAAAACTCAAATAGATAAATCAATATAATCAGTTTGCAGGTGCATATCTAACTCGGATTATGCATTTTGATTAAGATCCCGTAAATTTCTATATTTATTTACAATTTTTCTTTATGCTCTAAAAATCATAATTTACAGCTTAACTTGGGATTTGATCATATTGGTGTTTTCGGGGAGTTCCTAGCATTTTACATTGAAGTTTAATGGTAAATCTTGAGAAAATACATTAATTTAACAAATTAATGTAACATTGTGAGTTATATTAGTTCACCCCAAACATTGAGTAAAACCCAGTAAAACCCCAAAACCCAGTAAAACCCAGTAAAACCCAGTAAAACCCCGGGGTAGTTGTTTTCAGAGTAAAACCCCGGGTTTTTCCGAACCCTGGTTATCCAATCCTTGACAGGCTAAAGAAATGGTACATTTCTTGTTTTATTTTTTTATTCGCAATGTATGTATTGTCTCACCTAAGAGTGTTTTTTTGTAAAAATAATTTATTTTGTAGTTTTCAAATGTTAATATTTTAAACGAATATGTGTACCAAATTGAATTTATTTTTTAAAAAATTGTGTGGGTCGTTTCGATGAAAAATTTTCAAATTTCAATTACGTTCTTGCAATCCCAATATCAAATTTAAGCTCAATTTCATGATCCCGGTAGTTGCCAAATTGTAAC